CACTTGGACCTGGCCTTAAAGTATCTTGGGCCTTATTAATATTATTTAATTAGACTAAATTGTATTAATTTACATTTTTTCTTTCACTAAATTATACAATAATAATTAATATTGTAAAAGTTGTGAAATAAGTAAAAATAAAATATTAAAGCATGTAAAATATAATATGTATAGCATCAATGAAATAAATCTTATCTAATTAATATTATAATAATAATAAAAAATTATATTAATAATAAATATAATAAATAATAAAAATAAATAAATTATAGACTTGATTCTTGCTTTATGCGCAGGAAGAGTAAATAAAAAATTACGAATAAAAAGAATTAAATATTAAATAATTGAAAAAAGTATACCTGAGATTTCACCGACAGAATATGATTTTTTTCATTTAATTTTGGAAGTTGATGATAGTAATTTTTGAGGCAACACAATAATTTGACTTCCATTTTTGTTTTTTGCAATTAAATCACGAAAACACTTTCACCTCTAAATATTTAGAATTTTTTTTTTTTTTTTGGGCACAATAATTTTTTTTTTCTATATCAAAATTAGAAAATATTACATATATATAGAGTTGCGTGTAAAATTATTTTTTTTCTAATGATTTGTAAGTCCTGCTCTTAAAACAGATTATGGTAAAGAATTGCGAATAAATTCTTTTAAAGCTGAATATTTATGAAGAAATCATAACGAGAATGACCCAGTGTGCTTTTGAAGCATTTCATTGGTCAAAGATATGCTATCAAATATGAAACCCACTTTTCAATATATAATATGTTTATGGAAATGCAATTCTTATATTTTATCACGTCTTACCAATAATTTAAAAAAATGATTGAAAATTATTAAGATTTGTCATTATACATCTAGCAAAAGAAATGAAAATTAATGATTTGATAACGCATTTATATAGGTTGAACATAATCGTGCCGTTATATAGGCTATTGTTTCATTCTTTTTTTTTATGTATAATTTTTTTTTAATTAAAAAATTATTTTTCTATTATATTTATTTTGTAAGATATTATTACATTTATAGTGTCATTAATTTGTTAGACTCATTCAAATTTTAAAACTTTAATTGAGACTAGATTTCATGATTTTTTTTTCAATTTTTTTTTATCAAGTCGTTTACGAAATATGAATTTTTCAAAATTTCAGCATTTTAATGATTTCTTTTTTTGAATGCTCATGAATGCTACATACAGTTTTAAAAAATAAAATTTTAATTCATAATTTGCAAACAAATATAGTGAATTATTTTTCCAAAATTTTTTGCATCGAATTTTCGAAAATTTCGCGTAAAAACAGACAATTTACCCTTAACTGGCACCATGGGTCCAGTAGACCCGAGCATTTTTTCAAGCTCAAATTAATTGAATGTGTAGCTTTTGAATATTTTTTTATATTTTACTATATTAGTTTGACATATTCTTAGTAATTTTCTAAGTTTTTTCATACAACTAATTCGATACAAAAGAATAAATTAGCTTCAAACATTAATAATTATAAATTTTTAATTTTAACCTAAAAAGTCACATTTTATTCGGCAAAATAAACACCTTTTTTGCAAGTCCTGCTGTTGTGGTAATTTTTTCCTTATAAACAATAATATATCATAACCTTAAATTTTTAAGTCATATTATTAAAATTTAAATAACTCATGAATTTTTATGTAAAAACACGCAATTTTTCGTTTATATTTTTGACAATTTTTTTTAACTAACTTAAATTAAATTAATCCCTGTAAAACTAATGAAATTTTAAAAAACACATCATAAGCTACCTCAGATTAAATTTTTGTGCAAAAATATTCAATACCGGCTGTACAATACACGTTTGAATACGTTGGGTCCAGCAGACCCGTTGTGCCAGTTAAGGGTTAAAAAATTTTTTTTTTAATTGATGCATTTTTTAAGGAAGTATATAATGTATCATTCTCCATTAATTTTTCAACATTTATCATATAAATGATATGACTTATTCTTCTTTATATTTTGTCAATTAAATTATTTATGTATTTTTATGTTTATTTATAAATATAACTTTACGATTTTTTACTACGAAAATATTGGGCACGTGTGTTTTTGAATGAAACCGGATGTTTTTTTTATATGTTTATAGTAAAAATATATATATTTGTTTGTGTTTATATAGTATATAGTTTAAATAAATTTATTAGTTTTGGCTAAAGAATTCATAGAAAACATATTGCATTTCAGAAAAATTAAAAAGAGATTATTGTTATTATTTTTTATTATTATTATTATCCCGTAGAATTTATGAAAATAAATAAATTATAATAATAATTATCATATTATTATTTTTATTATAACTTAACGTCATTATTTCGTAATTACGCCCTTAATGACACTAATTATTAGAAATTCATTACAATATTGCCCACGTGAAATTGTCACGTGGCTGAAACATATATACCCTTAACTATAAATATATTATGTGTGATGTATCTTCAACTTTTTCAATTAGCACGTGTTCTTATTGTGAAAAAATGTATTTCTATCACAGAAAAAAATTTAATAGAGTGCGCAGAACATTTTTTAATTACTGTAATTATTTAAAATGTTTCATTGGGGGAATTATTTTATTATTAATTATTAAAAGTATTATTTTTATTATTATTATTCGATGCGTTAATTCTATTTAAAAAAAAGCATCATCATTCATATAAAAATAGTAATAAGTTATCAATTCACTATATAATTATTTATGTAATATTATTTATTTAAAAAAACTAATAATAATCATTATTATTATTATTATTATTTAGAATGTTAGATTCTTCAATTTTATTATTTTTCCCCACATAGCACGACTTCTTCCTGTGTGGTTACTGTAAGGATATCTGTAGGGTTTGTAAGGTTACCGTGTAAGCCTACATGTAAACTTGAGGTTATCTTATAACTTCCGACATTACAGTAAGCTTACACAGTAAAGCTAAGGTCAGCTTACACAGTAAGGTCGTGGTAAGTTTACATGGTAAGGTTGTGGTAAGCTTACACGGTAAGGTTGTTGTAAGCTTCCCGTAAGGTTGCTGTAAGGTTACTGTAAGGTTACTGTAAGGTTACTGTAAACATAGAGTAATATGAAAATATATTAAAAATAATTATATTATAATATATATTATATTATAAATTTTTTTTTATAAAAAATTATATATTTGGTAAAGTACTTGATGAACCCTAATAGGGTTTGTTAAATAAAATTTACTGCGCAGCCGTATATGCTATAGAAAACTACTGCGCATAAATATTAATAAAATTGATTTATTAATAACATTCTCTGTTTACAGTGACCTTACAGCAACCTTACAGCAACCTTACAGTAACCTTGTGGGAAACTTACAACAACCTTACCGTGTAAGCTTACCACAACCTTACCATGTAAACTTATCACGACCTTACTGTGTAAGCTTACCTTAGCTTTACTGTGTAAGCTTACTGTAATGGCGGAAGTTTTAAGATGACCTCAAGTTTACATGTAGGCTTACACGGTAACCTTACAAACCCTACAGATATCCTTACAGTAACCTTACAGCAAGAAGTCGTGCTATGTGGGTGGATTTTTTTTTTACTTGTTAATTTATTTAATTAATAGATGGATTTTCATGAGTAATAAATTGTTAATAATTTTCTATAGAATTTAAATTAAAAAAAAAAATTTATTTATTTTTATTTAAGAAAATATTGATAATATAATCATCATTTTATTAATGAAAGCATAAAAAATGAGATCATACTTTTTTTTCTCCATTTTCTATATTGGCTGGACAATTAAATAATTATCAGCACTGTTATATCCCCTATAAACTGGATATAGTAAACAGAGTAAAATGAAAAAAAAAAAGTTGAAAAAATATTAATAATTTTTTTGCAAATCACATAAAGTCTTCGAGATTTAATACCATATATATATATATTATAATACTGATTGTCATTAAAATTCTTTAACTTATTATTTTTTTATTACTATATTTTTTTGTGATAACTGACCATACACTAACTCTTATAAATGAACTTTGCTTTATTTTTCTCTTGACACGTTACTGTGATTCATTTATGTATATTTTATATATATGTAACATATTTTGACCATGACCTTCGTGACGTATCAGTGAATCAAGATCATCGAAAGTAGAGACAACGCTTATGTTCCGCGGAAGCTGTTTCGTTATATTAATAAATAGGAAGAGTGGCATGTTTCTTAAATAGCTTTTTAAACATAATGTCAACAGTTCCTTATACATTGTATTAAAAAAAAAAATGACAGTTTCCGCATCATCAGTAACTATTACTGTTATATATATATTAAATTATTTTAATATTTACATTAATATTTTAATCTTAAAATGAATTATTAAAAATTGTATAAGAATATTTTCATAAAAATATTATATTTTTATTAATTAACTTTTACACTGAAAAAAAAAAAAATTTATTCGATTCAAATAATCGATTACTTGACTATTATCAAATAAATATTTACTTGAACCAAATAATTTTTGACACAAAATAATTGAATTCTATTTGAATCAATAATATTTCTGTATTTGAAACAAATACAATTTATTTAATTCAATTATTTTGTGTCAAAAATTATTTGGTTCTAGTAAACATTTATTTGATAATAATCAAATAATCGATTATTAGTTAAATATTACTAATTTTTAGTAAAAGTTACTAATAATTATAGTAAAATTTTACTAATTGAAAAACAAAAAGTGAGTCACTAATTCAAATTTGTAAACTATTTTAGTAATTCAGATTTAGAGAGAATAATATAATTTATTAATAATTAATAAAATTGAAATTTTCTCTCATTAAAATATAAAAAATATTTTCACAATTAAATAATGACTGGGGTAATTGATAAAATTTGATGATCGTCAAAATTTTAATTAAATAATGATGTCAGGGTTATTATTCTTCGCTATATGAAGTTGATTGGAATATAGAAAATTTTTGCTTGACTCACCGGTTCTGCTATGTTCTCCCATTTCTCGGCAAGATAGTTCCAGTCCTCACTTTCCATTATCGAAAATTTCGATGATTTTTTTTTTCTTTTCTTTTTTTTTGAGGGAGTTGGGAAGGAGGAGGAGGAGTGGAAAGAATATTTCAAAAGAACAATTTTAAGAAAGCTGTAGAAAAAGGTATCTTGGACACCTTGTTGATGAGTTCTCTTGCGATTACTAAACACACTATGCTTACATCACACGACCGACAACTAATCCTATATCTTACTGGCTAGAAATATACGAGTCTAATGTAGTATGTCTGCCAGGTATTTTTGGGTGAGCAAAGTTTATAATCGTGTATGTTAAAACCTACCTACGAACGTACGTTCGTTTTATTTTTCCCATTTTGTCAATCATTCATTTCTTTGATCATTTTCATCTTCATCCATCATCGTTATAAATTTCAAGACGTAATATTTATTTCGTTTGAACTTTACGATAAAAACATTAAAATAACTAATGAGGAACAATACTTTTTTTTATTCATTTATTTTGAACATATTATTTTATTTATTTAAAAAAAAATTGTATAAAAATTTTTAAGTTCATTTTTTTAAACGTAATTCACCTTAATTTAAGAGAGCGCTTTAATTTTCCATAAAATTAATTAATTAGAATTTTTATTTTCAATTATATTTTATTAGAAATAATTTTTTTTAGCTATTTTTTTAATTTTCAAAATAAAATTTGACATATTTTTTTTTTATATTAATTTTTACATAACAAAATTTTTAGTTAACGAATTTTTCTTGGGCAGAATTTTTATTTTATTTGAACGACAGAAATTTCAATTCACCGAATTTTAAATTGTCCGAATTTTTATTTTGCACGAATTTTTAAGACGGCGAATTTTTATTTGTCCGAAATTACAAATGTCCAAACATAAATAATCAACAGAAAAATTATGGCGCAATTTTCAAAAATTGATCAATCACGATTTTCTATTGATAATTTCTAATTGGTCAATTTAAAAAATTTAGCCAAAATCATTCATTATGTCGATTGTTTGTTCGGACATTTTTAATTTCGGACAAATGAAAATTCAGCGTCTTAAAAATTCGTATACAATTAAAAATTTGTACAAATAAAAATTGGGACAAATTTAAATTTGGTGAATTGTAATTTCTGTCATTTAAAAATTTGAATCAGATAAAATTTAATTGAATGAAAATTCTGTTAAATTAAAATTAAATTAAATTAAATTTACATTAAAATGAAAATTAAATAAAAAGTCATGTAAATTAAATGACTATAAGATAAAAATTCTGCCAAAAACAAAAATTTGGTAGCTAAAAATTTTGTTATGTAAAAATTCGTATAGAAAGAAATTCCTCTTAAATGATAATTCGAAAAATGAAAATTCGTCTAAAAAGTAATTATTTCTAATAAAATTCTTTAAAATGAAAATTCTAATTAATGATTTTTATGAAAAAAAATGCTCTTAATTTTCGAAAAAAAATGTTTATTTATTTTATTTCTATGCCATTCAAATTTTCTAATTTCAAAAAAATTATTAATTTAGTTTTTCTGTCATTAAAATTTTTTAATTAAAAAAAAACTATTTACTTAAATTACTTCTATGCTATATTAAAATTTTCAAAATAATTATTTTTTTGTTATTGATTACAATAATTAAAGTTTTGGAGAACCAAAGTTGCAAGAAGCAAATTTTTGATTAACCAAATAAATGATTAATTAAAAAATTTACACAATCGAAGTTTTTTTAATGGATGAAAAAAATTTATGTATGGCTAAATTTTGAACGTTTAAATGAACGAAATAATTTTTTTGGTCTATAAATTTGTTAAAAATTACTGTAGCAATGAAAAATAAAAAAAGGACATTAAACATTTAATAAATTATTAATTTTTTTTTGAATGCAGAAAGCAATAGATAGATGGATTTATTGATTTCATATGTATGACCTTTCGGCCTTTTACATTTCCCATGCAGAAAGCAATATATTTTATAATAAAATTAATATAATATTAATAAATTTCAGAAAATAATAAATAAATAAAAAAATTTTCTAAACGTAAAAAAGAATTGTTTATTTTTTTTATTTTTCATTAAATTGAAGTGATTGTTATCTTAAAACATATTTTACTGTATATTAAAAACGACCAAGGACGAAGTGATAAACTCACAATTTATATTTATTATTATAAATTTTTTTAATTATTTTAAAAAATAAAAAAATTAAATTTTTTTTTTGTTATATACTTAAAAACCTATCATTTTTAATTCGTTTCTAAAATACAAATTTTGTTTTTCATAAATTAAAATGTTGAAATAATATTTCGAAAAAACATTATATTATAAAATTTTCTTTTCAGTTTTAAAAAAAAAAATTCACCAATATTTGTCAAAACGTTCATTTATAATTTAAGGGGAGAAATCAGTGAAATTTTAATCTATCGCAATATTACTCGTTTACCTATTTTATTTTTTTTTTATTTCTAATTATTTTTCTTTTTTTCCTCATATAATTTGTAAACAATGTATGAATTTTAAAAAATTACAATTTTTTCAAAATAATACATTTTCTAAAAAATTTAACACTATTAATTAATTATTATTAATTAATTAATAAATAAATTATTATTAATTAATACCTAAATAAATAAATTATTTTTATTATTTTTCGTCGACCATTTTTTCTTTTATACTTTTTTTCATCATTCCAAACATATATAGTAATTCGAACAGAAGTTTAAACATTTTTCATTTAAAAAGAAAATAAAAATTCTAAAATGATCAAATTTTACAAAAAAAATTTATTTTATATATAGATAACTAAAAAATATTAGAAATTTTTTTTTTTTTTTTGCAATCAAAATATTATTTTTTAAACAAAAATTATTTGCAGCAATAAAAATTTTATCACCTGTAAAATTGATGAAAAATTTATAAACTATAGGTATTTTAATTATTATTTTAATTTTTGTTCCTTTTATTATTATTATTATTACTATTTTTATTTTTCAGAAATAACATTTTATTATTATTATTATTATTATTATTATTATTATTATTATTATCACATAATTGCAAATAATAATTGTTCTCACTTTTGAGAATTCTCTTGAAAACAGAAACGCATAATAATAATAATTATATTTCTGCGTCTTAACGATTTCGCGTAATTTCTTTATTTCCTAATTTAATGGAACATAAAGCAAATATTATACTCGTCCCACTCGCAATTAATTTAACGATAAATCCAATTTAAGATTCGCGCCTTTATTATTTTTACTACTGCGGTGATATATGCAATGAAATTGTGTTACTGTGTAAGTATCATATACATATATGTATATCGTTGTATGTAAATGTATAATGCAGGTTAATGCAGTTGTCAACATGGCGGAAGGTAGTGTACTCGTTACTATTTCTGGTCCAGCACTTTCTCTACTTTTGTACGAAAATGCTCGAAGTACTGGTGATCAGGTAATTATTATAATTTTTCTCATTTAATTCTATGTTTCCATATATATCTAAATATCTAATTTTTTTTTTTTTTTTATTATTTTTCTCGTATTAAATGACTGTATATATTTGTCGAACATAACCTCTCTGCGTCTAACCTATAATGATTTTATGGATTTTGTGTATGTGACATATTTCTCTTATTTTTTGTATATGTATATGTGTATATCAATAATTATAATGATAAATGATTACAGATAGGACTTCTTCTTGGCAATGTATTTACTTTTGTTATTAAAAAAGTGACAGACTGTGAAAGACAAGTGGAACGTACTGAGCATCACATCAGTAAGTTTATATTTTATAAAAATTCACAAATTCTCTTGTGTTTCTATTGTTAGTATTCAAAATTTCAAACTACATTTATACTTTAATTTATTTAAAATATCTATTATTGTTAGTTAGTTCCCTTTTCATCTTTTTTTTCGATGATTTTTTCCCCTTTTTTGATAAAAAATGTAAATTTTTTTTTTGTAAATATTTCGAATTTTGTTCATAAAAAAGAGGAGTGTCGATAAATTTGTTTAAGTTAACTAATTTACTACCAATAAGAATAAAAATTGAAAAATTTAATTATATTTAATTTAAAGTTACTTTCTATCAAAAAATTCAAAAATTGTAAGAAATTATATTTTAGTATGAATATATTGTTATTATAACTTTAAACACTTATTTGTAATATTTTTTATTTTTTGTCCTCTTTTTTTTAGGAAAAAATTACGTTTGTGAAGTTCACAATGTTTATGATAAACGATTCAAAGAAATATATTTTTTACTCAAAAAATAATAACTAATTTTACGAAACTGAAGTACGCAACGTTTATGATAAACGATTTTTAAAGAAATAATTTTTTGCCTAAAAAATATTTCTTGTAGTTTTTATTAATCATCAAATTATTTTAAAAAATATTTTATTTGAGTAAACAATTTTATAATTTTCCGTGTTAAATAAAAATTGACTTCTATAATCGTTAACCATAAACGTTGTGTACTTCAGCATCGTAATTTTTTAGCCGACAAATCTTTTTCTAAAAAAATTATTTATCAAAAAAACGTTGCAAAAAATTTTTGTAAATCAAAAATAATAATTTTTTCTTCTCAATCGTTGATTATAAACGTTGTGAACTTCATCGACTATATTATTTATTTTTGATTGAATTTATTAAATTATTTATATAATAAAAGAAATATTGATATTTTTGTTTCGCACTTTCAGATATTGATACAATTACGGTTTGTTCGAAAGATGTTATTAAAGATGGAATCGGACGAATCAGTCCTGAGAAATTGGAAGCCTTCATAAAAAATAAGGAGAAACGTGTTGTTGGATGGTTTCGATTTCGACGTCACAATTTCTTACAACCAACGATGAAAGATAAAATATTACACAAAGAGCTTGCAACACATTTTTGGAATTTAACACGTTCTTGTGAAGAACATTTTATAATGTTTCTTTTAAATGCTTCCACAACGAAGCATTTAGGTACACATAAATTTAGACACGTTTGTCTTCAATATTGTCGTGAGTAAGTTCTTTGAAATTTTTATTATTATTAATAAAAATTATTAATGAACAATTTTTACATTAAAGCTGTAATAAAAAAAATTATTTTCAATTTTAAGTTCATATCGTCCAGTTCCAGTGAGAATAATTAATTTAGGTGATGATGTCGCGTGTCTCGATGGATCTGATTATAAATCTGTGCCAGTTAGAAGGTTCAAAGAGACTGATTGTTTTACAAAACTCGTCGAAGATCTAAAGTATGAATATTAATTTTTGTTTAATTTCTTTTTTTTTTTTTTGTTTGTTAATTATTTATTCTCTATTTTCAGATTAAATCCAAGCAATACATCGAGTGTCGATATGGTGACAACTATTGAAAAACAAGCTGAGGATTATTTACATGAAATGATAACGAAAGTTTGTCAATCTGATGAGGAAATTTCTAGATTAGAGGAACAAATTAATGATGTGCGAGCTAAACTTTTGAAAAGTAATTGGAAAAATAATTGTACACGAATGGAAAAAGCATCTGAACTACAACACAGTATAGAAAGTGAAAAAATATTAACCACAGCTCAAGTTCATGGTTCACCGCGATCCACACACTCGGATGATTTATTTGATTCTAATTCTCCATCTCATGTGGTATGTTAATATTTTTTTTTTCTTTCTAAATATTGATATCAATTTAATATAAAACAGGGTAGCCACAAATCAGGAAAAATTTTATTGTCAGGCAAATTTGAGAATTTATCGATTAATTTAAATTAATTTAAATTTTTTACAATTATTAGCACACAAATGCGTACAAATTTTTTAAAAATGTATCAAAATAATTGAATATTTGAATATTAACACGTTATATTTTTAGAAATAATTGAATTTCATGCAATTTTAAATGGAAATTTTTTGTAAATTCATAGAATAGGTGCAGCAATTGTCGATGATTTTAGACAACATGTGACTTTGATATTTTTTTTTCTCAGGAGTAATTAACCGAAAGTTTTGAACGTTCATATAAACGAAACATTTTTTTCAATCTATAAATTATTAAAAATTATGATGATTATGTTAAATAAAACAGTAAATTAAATAATTATTAAATTAATAACTTCTTTTTAGATATTTTGAACAATATTTTGTAATAAAATTCGTACTTGAAGAAGTTGCAAAAAAAAATTTCGTTTATATGAACGTTTAAAACTTTTGGCTTATCAGGAGTAAATGTACTTAAAAATTTGAATTTAAAAATGGCGAATCGAGTAAATTTCACAGCAGTGAATTATAATAATTATAAGAGAATAATTATTATAGTGCCATTGATATAAAATTTGGGGGGGGATAAATGGGATGAATATGTAATTGGAAATACAGGGTTAATTTATAAATTATTTTTGTTTTTAAATTTTCTACAATATACTATTTATCAGAAAAAGAAAATTACAACCATCGACAATTGGTACACTTACCCTACTCCTAAATTTTTTTAAAAAAATTTTAATTAAATTTTAGAAACTTTTATTGAAAATTTTTTTAATTAATTACAAATAGTGTCCAACGGACCTTAAAATCCTTGAAAAGTCCTTAAATATTTTTTTGAACCTTAAAAAACATTAAAATTTCTGGAATTTTATAACAAAAATCTTCAATTTTTGAAAATGTTCTAAAGGGATATTTTTTTCTTAAAATATTAAAAGTACTTGACAATCAGATTGTTAATATAGAACTAATTTGGTTTGTTGTTGCAAAAAAATTTCATGCAATAAAAAAATATTTTTGAAAATTCCTAACATTTATTTATTTTTACAAAGATCTCGATTTTTTATCATAAATTTTAATTTTTTCAAAACTCGAACAATTTAAAAATTTTTTTTCGTTTTTTTTTCTAATACTTTTTATTTTGTTAAATCTTTTTATTATTAAAATTTTTCATTTTTAAAGCGATATTTCCCTCAAATTTTCTTTTTTTTTGGCAATTCATAAAATTTATATATTTATTGACTTTTACAAACTAGTTAGAAATTCTCAATTTTCCCTTTTTCCGCACTAGTATATTACTTTAAATTTAATAATTTCTTTATTTTTATAAAATTCTTATGTTTTTTCTTATTTTTCAAATAATTCTTTAAATTCTCTTGATTGATAAATTTTTTGTTCATAATTAAATTTTAAAAGATTTTCAATTGAAAATTTGGATAATATTTAAAAGTTTAAAAAACTTTGTAGGTACAAATTTTTTGTACAAATTTAATTTTGATATTTTTGAAATAATTGTTGTCTGGAAGAGCTGCAATCAAAGTTTTAAATAATATAATGAAATTTTTGAGAAATTTATATGAGCCTGAAGTCTGCAACGTTTTCAAAAACGAAAAATTAAAATAGAATTATTTTTTCAATTCTATTTCTAATTTTAATTCACACAAACTTTCAAGAGTAAAATTTATTATATAATTTTTTTATAAATACATAAATTTTATAAAAATTAAAAATAATGTGTTAAAAGCAATAATTTTAAATTGGTAATTGATTAAAAAGAATCAAGTCAATTGAAGTTTAATTTAGTTAACTTTTTTTGTAAATAACAAAATTATGTGAATTTAATAGAAATAAATTAATATTGAAAGAGTTACAATTAAAAGTTTTGATTTTTTCTATTTTTAAAAGATTTTTAACTAAAAATTTCAAACATAATTCAATTTTCGAAGAATTTTTTTCATAATTATGAAATAATTAAATTTTTTTTTTAAATGATAACAAATAAAATTTTTTTTTTAATTGAATTTTTAAATATATTGAATTAAAATAATTGTAAGTAATTGAAATTTCGTAAAAATTGATTGAGAGCTTTGAAAATAATTGAATTTTTAAAAAGAATTTAATTAAAACTTTTGAAAATTCTATTTGATTTTTTTTTTTTTTTTAAGAATGTCAATGTTTAATATAATTTTCATTTGATTGAATTTCCATTTATTACGATTTTTTAAAAATAGAATTCACGCATTTGATAAAAAAGAATAAAATTCAAAAATGTCAGGGAAAATTAGAATGAAAATTTTGTGACAATCCTGTTATATTATTAATTTTTTAAATTACTAAATTTTTTTTGAAATGAATTTCAGCCATTCTCAAATTTACACACCCTTAAAATAACAAGTCTGGAACGAACAAAACAATCGATTGTTTCAAAGGAGAATCGAAATCATTCGAGTACAGATTTAAGTTACAGTGATGTAACACGAGCCGATAGTTCACCAGAGAGTACAAGAAGTAGAGAAAGAGGATTAAAATCAATGAATAAAAGTAGTTTAGATGAAAAATTTACAACGTCAAAGAGACAAACGAGTTCTCCTAAAAATACAGGTAAAAAAACTGAACGTCATTCTATTGGCGATTTTGGTGGTCACAGTCAAGAAGAGAGTTTCACTGTTGGAAATAGAGATCAAATGCCTTGACGAATAAGTTATTCAGAAAATTAATCATAAGTTTATAAGTGTTGCTATTTGCCATTCCAAGATTATGTTTTTTTATTTTTTAAAGAAAAGAAAACTATTTTGTTTTTTAATTTCGATTTTTTTTTTCTTACATTCATATATTCTCAGTTAATTCACTAAAAACGCCATTGTAAATACTTCAGCATTTTGAAAGTTTATAATGAATAGTTCCTAATAATTAATTGTTTTAGTTTTTTCATCGACAATAGTCGATATTTTCAAAAGAGAGAAGAGAGAGAAAATAAATAAAGTTTAATTATTTTTCAAAGAAAAAAAAAAAAGTAGAATTTGAAAGAGAGAATAGATAAATTCGTGAAATTTAGTAGTGTTATCTAAATATTGTTAATGAGCTAATAATAGGAACTTTGCCTTGACTCCTAAGTGCAAAAAAAGATTGATTTTATTTTAGCTGCATATTCACAGAATTATTATCGCTATCCTATAACATATATTCTGAAAGAACTTTGAAAAAAAAAAAAAACTTTACGAATAGTTGCTCTCTGTACTTAAACGTTTATACTTGCAAAAAAAGCGATACTTAAAAAGTTATCGCCAAGTACTTGCAGGATCAACTTTTACTAAAAAAAAAAGAAACAAAAAAAAAATTCTAGCATAAGAGTAAATGATATTTTATTACTTAAAAGAGTCTGATATTCTAAGACTTCACAATACACCAAAGAAAAATGTAGCCACGACGCATGTTTCTTGAAATATTTCTCTTAAAAGTCAATTAAACAAAAAAACATTTAATTTTTTCGTTTTCTTTTCTTTTTTTTTATTAAAACCCCAAATTTTAAGTTTTATAAATACTGTATAAATCGGTGAATAATGGACTACTCAACAAATTTGTAACGAAGTGAATCTTTAAACCACCAATTCCCTGGGAATTAAAATGAATATAGAATATAAGGTGTATAGCGAGAGATAACGTTATTGTGAGACAAGTGGTTGTCTCTCTCTTCTCGTATAGATTTGTCTCGTTTCCTCTTTGCCTTCTTTCTTTCGTTCAACATTCAGGAGATGTGACTTTTGTCAAGTCTTATTAGAAGTGATTATGTGCATGATTAATCGGCGCTTAGAGTCACGTGGTCAACGTCCCTTCCAGTTTTACCCTTTAGGTTGTTAACCAGTTGGGGATAACGAGGACAGACTTTTTTTTTGGACTATGGAAGAAGGATGGAGTATTTTGTTTGTTCCGGGAAGTAGAATTTCTTGACTTCACTTGTTGGTTTATCTCTCGCGAGTGGTCGCGTTTTTAGAGTTGTGAATAGTTGGACTTTATTAATTATAAATTTTATTGTTATATTAATTATTCTTTTTAATAAATTGTTCATTATTTTTAAGTGTGTGTGTACTATTTTATAAGTTTCCTTTTGGATTTATCTTCTTGTGGCGATTTCTTATCTGTGGCGTTCTGAGACATCGTTGGCGCCAAGCTGTCTGCATAAGTTTCGTTATTTTCAAATCCAAAGCGTCGGTATCGAATGCTTTTTCGCATCATAGCTGTCTTTGAAGGGATTCCCCCTTAGATTGTGTTTTTAAAGATTTTTAAGGAGATATTTTTAATTATGGAAAAGATGCGTAATTGCTAATTAATTTTAACGTATTTAAATATTATTTTCAAATTAATAATTCCCCGTTACACATTATTATAAATACATTTTTGTCATGTAAAGTCTTTTTTTTTTTTCTTCGTCGCAATAATTTGCACAATAAGATCACTTTTATTTAAATAAAAATTAAATAATATCCACGGGATTATTTGGTAGACCTGTAACTTCCCATATTGTTGCCGCTAATCGTCTTGAATGTTCCAAAACACAAGATGCAGTTGCCAATCCAAGATGAACACAATAAAGTTCATAAATCCTCATTCTATTTGGCGATACTTTTGGAAAATAAGCACTCGCTATTTTTCTATAAAAAAAAAAAAAGGTGAAATTACCTAAATGCAAAACGTACAAAAAAAGAAAAGAAAAAATTTAACAAACCTGTAATAATCACCGCAGAGTATTCCAGGAACACCAAAGTTTTTAATCATATGATTAACATATTCTTTGTTTTTAAGAGGTGTACCCTTAAAAAAAAAATGATTTTTAATTTTCATCCCCCGGTCATTATATAATTATGCATTATTTACATTTTTGAAAAAAAACTTGTAATGTTTAACTAATAAATAATATACACGATACTCACCGAACTGTCTTCAAACCATAAAAAGTAGGCATAATTAAAAGTCGTGTCTTTCCACATTACTGACATGTGACCTTCTTGTAAATGAATCCTGCTTTCTTCAATCATTGTCCATATCTAAAATTATTTCTCAAATTGTTAATAAACTATGTTCATTCTTATATAAACGAAAAAAAAAATCTTTGTCATTATTGTCCTAAATTTTAGATAAAGCTGTGAATTAGGATTAAAAAAAAAAAAAAAGAAACAATCATTTCGGCTTTTTTCTGTGATAAATAAATTGTAATTGTACAAGTGAAAAGAAAATAAATTATAATGGAAAATTTATTATTAAATACTTTTAAATTTAATGACCAATCACGACAATTAAAAAATACATAATTTTATTTTAAATAATTTTATTAATTACCTAATAATTTTATTTTCTTGTTTAAAATTTGTTTTTAGTTTTTTTCGCTGTTCCAATTTGAAAAATTTCTATATTCAGTTAACTTTACTCATATTAAAACTCATGGTAAATATTAAGTATGAATTTAATTGAATATAGAAATTTTTCGTTTGGGCATCTGAGGTACCAAACTTACAGTGTATTTAAAGAAATTAACAAGAATATTCAAATTATAAATTTGAATTAAAATTTTACAAATTTTCTTATACAAATTTTTACATAAGAAAATTTTTAACTTTCAAAGTTTTCTTTGGCAGAATTTTTTTTATATTATAGTCATTTAATTTACATGACTTTTTATTTAAAATTTAATTGAATTGAATTTTAATTTGTCCGAAATTACAAATGGCCGAACAAACAATCGATAGAAAAATTTTGGCCCGATTTTTAAAATAAGCCAACTAGAAATTATCAAGAAAATCGTGATTGGTCAATTTTAAAAATTGCACCGAAATCCTTTTGTCGATTGTTTGTTTGACAATTTGTAATATCGGACAAATGAAAATTCGTCGTCTTAAAAATTCGTACCAATAAAAATTCGAACAAATTAAAATTAGGTGAATTAGAATTTCTGTTATTTAAAAATTCAAAACACTCAAAATTCTATTTAATGAGAATTCCGTTAAATGAAAATTTGCTTAAATTAAAATTCTTTTAAATAAAAAATTATATAAAGAAAATGATTGTAAAATAAAAATTCGGACAAATAAAACTTTGGTAGCTAAAAATTCGTATAAAAAGAAAATTTGTAAAATTTCAATTCAAAAATAGAAAATTCATCTAAAAAATAATATTATTTTTAATAAAATACTTTAACATAAAAATTCTAATAAATGATTTTTATGAGAAATTCATGCGGCCCAAAAAAATTAAATTATTATTATTATTATTATTATTATTATTATTATTATTATTATTATTATTTATCAACATTTTTCACTTTACGTAATATTTTCTGAAAATTTTTTTTAAAAAAATGAAAAAAAAGCGTAGGAGCAACTGAATATCGCGAAAATTGTAGAAGTTATAAGATTTTAAACGAAAAATTAGAAAACAATTTTTCTTTTTTTTTTGACAAATTCTTAATACAGGAATAATTACTTTTTTAAAATTTTTTTATATATATTTACCTTTGCAGTTGTGAGCTGTAGTGTTTCTGAATTTGTAAAATCAACAGTTGGTGCTGTTAGTCTATGATTCGTTCGATCGATGTATATAAAATGTACCAGTCCAGGAAATTCTTCCAAATATTTGTTGATGGTTAGGGAAGTTCTCGTATATTCAAATCACATATTAAAAACATTAAGGACAGATATTTGACAAGCGATACAACTTATTACACAAGCACACTTTTGGAAACGGAAAACTCAAAATTTAATGTACAAAAAAAAAATAATAATAATTCATAAACCTTATGATAAATACTTTGTTAAAATGATTTTTTTTTTTTTTGCAGAAATTCTCTCATTTTCTTTATCAGTCACAAAGTATAATTCATAACAGTTTATAAATGACACAAATATATTGAGAATTTGACAAAAATGAAAAAAAGTCTTTTTTTTCAAATCTCAATAAACAAAAATGACAAAAAAATAACTGCTACAAAAAGCACAGATTATAAATTATTTTTCAAAAAGGATATGATCCAAGACTAAAATTATTGAGCGCTTTTACTTTCAAAAAATCACTAAAATCATTGAGTTTTTGACTGACAAGACGACTGACAGTTGTTATCACATCAAATCCTTGTCTCAATAAATTTTTATCAAAACAAGTCAAACGAAAAAGTTCCTTCATTGTCTCAATGAAACCCGATATGTTTGACTCAATTTGTATTATAAAATCTGGATCTCTTGATTTAAATAGATCTATATATTTTTTTCGTACAAATTCCCATTTTACTTGTAAACGTCTTTGACACATATCAATGTCATTATTTATATAAGCTCGATGTTTCTTGATCCCATCAATTGTCTTTTTAATCGATGTCTCTAAATTTTCTACAGCCGATCTTAAATCATCCATATCCCTTTGTAATTGTAGTTTATTGATGATATTTAAATGATAAAAACAATTATACAGCCCACATGAAATTCCCGAATTCATTACTTCAACAATTGTTACTAAATTAATACCTTCAGCTAATTTTGAAATGTGAATTGCGTTTGCTGTGAAATTTTCATCTGATCCTAATAAAACTAATTGACTATACAAACCGTCTTCAGCGAAGGTATAAAGGCCTTCACTTATCGATGAATATCTCGAGTCACCTGAAAAAATATTTTAAATAATAAGAAAATTAATAATGAGTCAACTCATTATAATTTCGTCTAGGGTAAGTGTACCAATTACGGCGCGTTCATAAAAAATAACTATTATTAATAATATATTTAATATAACTGTTGCAAAATGATTAAAAAAAAAATTATTTCAATCTTTTTTTGATACAATTACTTATAAAGATGCACATTTAAACAATTATTAATTTAATTATTTGAGATTAAAATATTTTTCCGCGCCGAAATTGAAACATTTTTAAGATTTCCATTGGCTTCAATTTCGTCGGGAAAAGTATTTTTAAAATACACGTAATTTTGGTCACTGAAATTGATACAAACGCGCCGGAATAGAAAATTACGGTATTAGTTTTAATTTCTCATATTTGTTTAAATAATTGATTTTTGTAAAGTTAAATTTTTTTTTAATATCTAAATAACATAAGCTTTTAGTTTAATAATTCTTAAATTGAGTTTATACAATAGAAATGTCGAATTTTCTATTTCAAAGGTGTTTTGACTCGAATCGCGCCGCAATTAGTGCATTTACCCTACAATCGTTGAAAAACTACTTTAGATACAAGTTAATTATTTTTTTGTACATTTTTTTTTTTAATTCAATTATTTTGTGAATTCAATTAGATTTAGAAATTTTTTGTCTGGGTATGGATCATACTTTTCGATTATTTTATTTATTTCTCTGAATTTTAACTTGAATTCTCTATTTTTTCAATTTTCTACATAGGAAAAATTTATATAAAGAAAACAGTTGCTGAACAATTTTTTAGTTTTAAATAATTTTTTTAAACCAATTATCCGCTTTGTGATATCAAAATTGCAGTACTTAGATTTTTATTTTTTAAATCGAGCAATAAATTATAATTGAATAGTTAATTTCGAAAAGAGCTCAACTCGAAAAAGAGTTGAATTCTTTTCGAAATTTCCGATTCAATTGAATTTACAAAATAATATTATTTAAAAAAAACCGGTTAAATTTAGAAACGTATTTTGACACAAATTTAAAAAAATATGTATTACATTTTGAATTTGAAAAAAATAATATAAAAAAGTAAATATATAAATTATTATTTAAATAAAAAATATTTTATTATAAAAAAAATTAAATGTACGGATATCAGAAATCATTATTACGAATTATAAGTTTCTTCTAAAAATAGCCCACAATGATTTTAGATGAAATATAATGAATTTATCCTAATTTGCCTTTTTTTTTAAAAAAAAAAATAGTATTTAAAAGTTTTCAAAAGTTTAAATTTAATTTGAGAAAAATAAAAATTCTTATCATACACGAAAATGAATTTTGAAAATGATGAAAATATTTTACCGAATAAATTTTGAATATCCTCAGACGTTGGGTTCGATAGAAGTGATGATGAGCTTGATGTGAGATCCTCATTTTTTGGAATTGAGCTATTTGGCCTTAATAAAATATCTCTTTCTTGAATATCTTTTTGTTCCGATAATGATAATGATGATTCATTTTTATTTGCCACATAACACATTAAAATCATCATCAAAATATCAGATGCATTTAAGTCTTGAGCATTTTTACTGGAGAATAGCGATACAAATTTTTGTTCTACCAATATCAAAAGATGAATATTAGAAAATTCTGATTGCGCTTTAAGTTTATCCGCCGCATCAGTTAATACTTTCAAAGTTGATGATGCTAAATCAATATTCACTGATAATTGTTCCACAGCCTCAGTTAAAAAACTCTGTTCAGTTTCCCGTAAATGTATCCAAGCGTCCAAAAGAGAAGATACGAGATTTGCCTTTTGAGTACTTGATTTTAATCTGAAATATATAATTTTTTAAATCGTTGATAAAAAATAAAATAACTTATTTAATAATAATAATTTTTTTAATGTACAATATTTATATTTTATTTTTTATTTGAGAAAATTATATAAAATTACAACTCACGAAGAAACATCAGGACCACAAATGAGTCTTATGATAGATATACATATTCCTAGTGTTCTCTTCATTAGATCTATTTCTTTGGTAGAAATATAAATAAATGTATTACCCATAAATTCGTCAAAAACCATATTTGTCCCATCTTCGCATTTCATTGATGTGTACGAATTACCAAATTGTGATGCCATTATATGCTGTGATGTTACAATGGGAGAAAATAATTGCATGACAATATTTGCACTTGGAGAATCATCCGATTCCTCATCATCCTGATGACAAAATAATAAATTACATTATATATTATAATTTAATTAATATTTATTTACTTCGAATGTGTTTTTAATTTTATATTTAAAACACATTTCTTACTTTTCATTTTCGTATCAAATTTTAGCAATTTTTTCAAATTCTTATAATATTAAATTAATAATTTATTTCTAGGTGAAATTTATTAAATGCACGAAAAATTCATTAAAAAAAAAGCAAATAGATAATTATTTAGTTTGTTTTTTAATTATTTTATTTAGAAAAAAAATTTAATTATTCAATAATATATTAATATTATTATTACCTATAGAATATAAATTATTGTTATATAAATAAATAATATTAATTAATCTGTAATTAAGTTACTATTGGAATTAAAGAATCGATAGTTATTTAAAATTTAAATAATTTAATTAGTTTTTAGTAAATATTTACAAATTTAACATAAAGTTTGTGAATTATAATAAAATTTACAATTAAAAATGTACATTGCACATGATTATGCAAGGCAGTGATAAAAATAGTTAATAAGAATGGATAATTATTTTTCCTTGATAAAATATATTCTTACATTTTATCATTCTAAATAATTGCATTAAAACGCAAACATTTTTCATGCATACCAAATTCTTTAAAATCAATGATAAATGTTTAAAATTAAAACATATTTGTCAGATTTATTAGATTAATTTTGAGATATTGCATCTTATGATTAATATATTAATTTTTTATCTCAATTGTATATATATACTTTGTACAATTTTTACAATACATTATTAATATAATTTATTAAATAATTAAAATATTATTTTATTATTATTATTTATTATTATTGCATGATTTATTTATTATTTATTATTATAAAATTATAATTAGCTTTTTTATATTTGGTTTAAAAAAAAATGATTATTCACATCTTTCTTGTAAAATACTAATTAAAAATTTTTTTTATTAAAATGTTATCTCAAGTTTCATTTAAACTTTATTAATGTTTCAGTGATAAATTAATTAACTTATATTAAAAAAAAAAAGAGAACACATACTTCACTTTCACTGAGAAGACCTTGACTTTTAGCCAATTTTTTTATATGCCTGACAAATTTTTTGTTACACTTTGAAAAAAGTACATCATTAAGATGATCAAATACCAAAATTCCTCTCATTGTTTGTGTTTTATTTACATTCGCCGATGAAAGAATACTATTATTATTATTATTATTATTATTGTTATATTTGACTGTATATATTCAATTGTTGATTTTAAAATTTACTTTCTTTCATTATTAACAATCTTCTGCTTAGAAATAATTTTAAAATAAATGAGTAAATATTGATGTCATTCATGATATTAAAAAAAAAAATATTTATTCACATTTATATACTTCTTTTCGTAATAAAAAACAGAGCTATACTAAAATGCCAGACAGGTAAAGTTGGGTGGAGTAGATCGAACACATTTTATCGGGAGTTTTCATTACACTTTCATCACACAGATGACACTACTTATACGTTTAGTGGAATTGTTGTTTCAATTTATTTTACTTATATTTAAAATGTAAAAAGAAAGAAAATTAAAATTTTTTTTTTGAAATTTAAATTAATTTATAAAAGAAAAAGTTCATTAATCTCTATTTTAAATTCAATTTAAAAATATTTATTTTTTTAATTTAATATTAATTTCTTTAATTACATTATAAAAAGAGTTATAAAAAATTTTTTTAACAAAAACGAATTTTTTCTTTATAAAAAGAAACTAATAGAAAAAATTAAGAATAAAAATATTAAATAAAGATAGCAAATGTTATATAAAAATAGCAAAATTTAATATTTTCTAATTTACTGATTATATATTTTTTTTCTAAAAATTATTTTATGTAAATTTCTTAACAAAAAACCACATAATACATATTTATTTATATTTATTCTATTCAAAAATTATTTTTGAACAAAAATAAAAAAATTAAAATTATTTCTTTTAATTTTGTGGAAAATTTATAGATAAAGGAAATATAGATTAAAAAGACAAAACAATTTACAGTAACGCAAATATATTTTATTTTTTAAATTTTTCTTTTTTTAATGTAAAACAATATTTATCATATCTAATAACGAGAGTAAACTTAAAAAAATAAATAAATAAGTAATTTTTTTAATAATTCACAATATATCCGAAAGGAGTTAAATTTCAGGCGGTTTAATTAATTATAATTAGCACAGATTGAATTATGCAACTATGCTAAATATATTATGTTTGTATTTTAACAATAATTTAATATCGCTTATATATATATAACCGCCTGTGAATGTTATACAAATATTATCGAAGCACCCTGTAAGTTACGAATATTTTCTCATTTTACACTATAAATATTGATTTTTCTTTTGTGCTTCTCTGCTTTGTTGGCCGTATGCAGAAAAATATTCCTTCTTCCCTTTTTCTTTTTTTTTCGATTTTCATTATACATATTATTCTTTAGGCCCATTTACATTACTAAATTGAAATATTACAACAAGATGACAAATTTCACATTATAGGATCTTTTATATCAAACTGTATGCTATAATTAATGTGCTGCGAGAAATTGTCATTTAATTTTAATATCGTTAAATTAAATAGACATTTTCAATTTTTATTTCAGTGTTGGAAAATACATATTCTTAGAGACAAGATAAAAAAAAATTGCCCAGAACAACTAAAACATTTATTTTAGTTCAATATTTTTTTTCTAGTAAAACTTTTCTTCATTTTTTTAAATTATTATTATTATTAGTATAATTATAATATTATAACCGGTTCTTTGATTGAAAGGAGAAAATTCTCTTTTTTTTGTAGAGAAATATTATTATTTTAAAAAAGTAAACATAAAATATAGGAATATTCCTACTCAATTGGAGAATATTTTTTTTTCGATAAATGTGTTAATTGTCCCAGGTAAATCTTTTATATTAGAAATTATTGGAATATAAAATACTTATTTTTACAAATTATTTCATTTCGTAAACTTAATTGACTATTTTAAATTGAGCATAAATTAAAGTACAATGCAATACTGAATATATAATATATATATATATATATATATATATATATATATATATATATATTAATAAATATTTTTTGAATAATAAAATAGAATAATATAAAATAATATCCATATTAATAAACTTAATATTATATACAATAACTTAATATTTTCTAAATGGTTCAGAACACATAAATTGCACATTTAATGTTATTTAAAAAAAAAAAGAAAATAACTTTTCGTATTCTTTTCTCGCAGTTTTATGATAGTCGTGATATAAATGCAGTTAGCGTATATTATAGTATACGTTTTATTTTATTATTTATTTGGACTAGATTAATAAGTCTTTTCTATTTAAATATTTGTTTAAGATTTTCTACGAATTTCATCGTAATCTCAAATTGTTTTAAGCTCTAAAAATCTCATTCAGAGCCGCAATTAAATTCCTCTCTCTCTCGTTTTCGCTTTTATTTTTTTTTTCATACAATAAAAATTCATTTATTAATTTATAATATCTTTTTCAAAAGTATTAGCCAGATAAATTTAATTCTAATTAAAAAATTTTCTAAATATGTCTTCCTATATGATTTAATATATTTTTCTTTATAATTTCCTTCTTATATATAAATAAAAAAAAAAATGTTTTCGACAATAAGCTTTGGAAATTTTTTTTTTTTCAAATTAAAAATAAATTATCTTTTTTACAGGCTACTTGAGATGCAATGTACAATATTTTTAAAACGTCGGTGAATCAACGATTGAAAAAAAAATATTTTTCTCTAAAAAAATTATTGATCAAGAAACGTTGGAAAAAATTTTTTAGATCAGAAATAGTAATAATTTGCATAGAAAAATATGTTTTTTTCTCAATCGTTGATTATATAAACGTTGTGAACTACACCCACGTTTTTTTTAAGAACAAAATTTTTTAAAAGCAAAGCTTTATACAAAATCAATAATTTTTTTTTTCAATTTTTATTCAAAAAATTTTCTTTTTATTTAAGATCGAATTTCGATCAATATTTATAAAATTTTCTTTTTATTTAAAGACCAAATTTCATTTTTAATATAAAAAATTTTCTTATTTTCTTTTATATGAAATATTATTTTGTGAAATTTTGTTTTGTATCAAATTTTCCATTTTATCGATTAATTTTTTCTTTGGTATCAAATTTCATATTTTTATATTATCAAATAATTTTTTTTTATCATTTTCATATTAAATTTACTTTAAATTTTTTTAATTTTTTTTTTTAATTTTATAATATATTATACATTTGAAGTTAACGATTGCCACGATTTATTTTGAGTGATTTGAAATTTGAAAAATTAAAAATGTTTTTTTTTTACATTATTTCTGGCTGAAGTATAAAATGAGAACCGTTTTTTACTTTCATCATTGCTGTCAATCATCGTGAGCATTTTTTTGTGGTTTCTCATTTTTTTTTTTTTTGATTTCGCGTGCTTCTTTTTTTTTTTTACAAATTTTACACAGTCAATCATGAAAAAATTCGAGCAACTCGGGACTCTAGAAAAATATTCTTCAAGTGTTTTTTTTATGCTTTTGTAAAGCGGTGCAACGTGGTGCTCATGTAAAATACACTTTCAATAAGTCTATTGATTTGCTATTCTAAAATATGTATATATATACAGGATGTTTTACAAAACTATAAACTCGTGATTAAAAAAAAAAAATTTTTTTTCCAAATTTATTCACAGAGAAAAATATTATTTTCACTTTTTGAAAATAGATTGCGTAAATTATTTATATAGTGAAATAATTTGAAAATTCTGTAATATTTAATATTTTTATTGTATTTTTGTTTAAAATTTTAAATTAAATTTTTTTTTTCTCTGTGCTGTAAACACCCTGTTATATATATAAATATAACACAATGTACAATTATATATAAACATTATAAACACATCGCTCAAGTTCCTTTTTGCTAAGAACCTTGTTTTTTTTACTATAATAAATAGTAAATGTATAATTGTCAAGTAGGCCCTAATAATTTAAAAGACAGTTATTTACTGTCTATATACATGCCACAAAAATCCGTAAGACAAAAAACCACACTGTTAGAAATTTTTCTGTTTAAAAATGTGTGTGTGTTTTTTTTTCACGCAGAAAATGTGTATTATACTTGAAATTTGTGTAAAGATTAGTGGAAAAATATATTTTTTTTTATTTTTTAATTTCTTTTTACAGTGATTAAAAAACTTCCCGTTTTTGAATTTTATTATTGTATTTGCAATATGAAAAAAAAATTTTTTTTTTTTTTAAGAAAATGAAATTATTTTTCATCAAGAAAAAACAGTTTCTAACAGTATAGTCATAAATTATTATTCTTTGACGAATAAATTATAGGCACACACCCTATTTTTTTTTATATAATATATATATATAGGAAGATCTAAAAATCCATTTTTCAATTGTCTTTAAAAATCATTTTCAGCTTATTATTATAATTTAGACAGTATATTTTTTGGTATGCTAAATGTTTTATAATACTCGATTTATACTGTATAATTTATAATAATTTGACAATCTTGATTGACTGATATTGAAAAATATTTGTACGCACAAAATATTCTATTTTCAATATAATATTGAAAATTATATATTACACACCCCATTTTTTTTTTTTTTTTTTTTATAATGATAGTTTTATTATAAGGATGGAATTTTTCGATATTTCATTGTTTTTTTTTAACAATACTGATAGTAATAAATAAAAATAATAATTGTACTATAGCAATTAAAGAAAATTTGAAATAAACGTTTCGTCAATCTGACGACAAAACAAATTTGTATTTGTGATATATCACGTCATAAAGTTTTTTTTTTTTTTTTTTTTAGCTAATTCCCGAATGTGGAACAAAGAAAGATTTGCCATTTTTAGAGCAAATTGAGAATTTTAAATTCGCACAATCAGTAAGGCATTAAGGCATTAAGCCTTTATGAAAGATAAAGAAATTTGCCAAGTCACTTTTTTTTTCTTTTTTTTTTTAATAAAATGTATAAAGTGTCATCAGGAATAAGGCGAATTAATTTATATATATATAGATCGATAGATTTTATATCGGTCGTTATTCTTATAGAGATTTTTCTTTTCTCTGATTGATTTATATATAATTATCATTTATATATATATAGCCATTGTATTACCAGAATCTAATGACCTCAAAAAATTGATAACAATTTAACCATCACTTCATTATTATTATTATTATTATTATTATTAATATTTAATAAAAGTGATTCGTTGGTTTTCCATGTCGTTGCCAAAAATGGCGATCAAAAGTATTTCATTCCGATGACATTAGCTGAACACTGTCATCCGCTGATCTATGCAATCGTCTAACTTCTGATAGGGAACGAATTGGTGTTGGATTTAGTAGAGAGAAAGGATGTGAATGTCGATCTGAAAACGAAATTTTTAATTATTAGTTTTTTTTTCTCAAATTATTTTTCTAAAAGAAGAAAATACATAATATTATAAAATATATATAATAGTAATAATAATAATCGTCAATTTTCCGTTACCAAAATCAATCGTTTTTTTAATATTTCAATATTACAACAGCAAAAAAGGAACAATTTCGTTTAAAAAAATAAAGTTTAAAATATCGGAGTTGATCTAAATCATGATTTTTAAAAACAAAAATCAAAACATACTATTTTTTATTGAAATCTGATTTTTTAAATTTAAATCTTTATTTTTACCTTTTTCAAAAGTTGATTTTTAAGTAGTCTGTTTTTTTATATAATAAATACTTAAACGATAAATCTAATAATGCAAGCATCAGAAAATATATTTTTTTTTAAATATATTTTTGAATTAAAAATTAAAATCCAAATATTATTATTTCAATTTTTTAGTTTTTACCTATACTTATTTTCATTTTTCAAGTCTCGGATCGACTTTAAGGCGCAAAAAAAGTCGTTTTAGTCGATTTACATTGCAAAAAAAGTTGAAAAAGTCGATTTTTTAATTTAATTAGTTTTTATATTTTACTTTAAATATCTACTGTTATTGTACATTAAATAAAAGATCTCAAATTATTGCATATTATTTAATTCATTTTTTCATTCCTTAATAAGAATAATTCTACAAGAGTATTGTCAAGGAAATTTATTTCGAATATTTCAAAACTAAACTAAGACAAATATTCAAAATTTAAATTAAGTAGGACAAATTTAAAAAAAGAAAATTTAAGTTTCATTTAAAAAATTTTTTAAAGTCTAATTTATGCAAATAATTTTAATTTAAAAAATTTTTGCATAGTTTTTAGTTTTAATGGTCAAAAGAAAATTTCGGAAAATAATAATTAAGTTGAAGCTTTTTTAAATAATTGAATTTTTAAAGAAATAGTAAAATTATTAAAAATAATAATTGAATTTTGGAAGAGTTACAGTTGAAATATTTAGAAATAATTTAATTTCAAAAGATTTTGTAAAATTTTACAGAATTGAAAATAATTTAAGGTACATAATTGAATTTGTAAAGAATTTCATTCAAATTATTTAAAATAATTAATTTAGAGAATAATTTTAGTTAAAAATTTGTTAAATAATTGAAATAAAAAAGATCTTAAGAAGATCTGTATTGTACAATAAAAAAGACGTATTTTGTTTAAAAAATTTTTTAAAAAAGAAGTCGAAAAAGTCGTATAATCCGAGATCTTATTTTTGTTAATTTTTTGTGTAAGCCCAGTTTATTACTGTAAATAAATAAATTGTCGATTTTTAAAAAGTCAATAATTCGATAATAAAGTTTGAACTTGTTTTTAGAATATATATATCAGAACTCGTATAAAAATTTTAAACTAAAATTATTGTTCTAAAAAGAAATGTTTGAAACGTCAATAACTTTGTAATAATTAACAGTAAAATTTCTCAAATAAATCAGTCGATACGTTTTTAAATATTCTACATTATCTGCTTGTAATCGTTTTGACATAAATATTTTTTAATAAATACTTCAAAAAGTCATATTTTAAAACAAGTTTTATTTTGATAAGCTAAAAATTTGAAATAAAAAAATTGAACGAATATATTAAATATAAATTAAAAATTTTTTTTTTTTTACTTTAATACTGAAAAATTTAATTTTCAGCCTTGAAAAATATAAAAATGAGAAAATTTTTTACAAATAAAAATTAAATTTTAATTCTTTTCTCAACAATAATTTCTTTTTCAATTCAAAAAAAATTTTGCAAATTGTTTTAGTGTGTGTCTGATATAACTTTTTGTTCAAATAATTTATTCACAAAAAATTCAATCGTTTATTTTTTACAAATTATTTTTATTATTTTTTTGTATCTATAAATGTTTGGCAAGTTATTGATAATTCAAAAAAAATTCTTTTTTAATGATGTAAAAAATATTTTATTCTTATCATTGCAAATATTTTTATCTTTAAAAAATATATATGAGCTTCAAGTTAAAAAAAATTTTTTTTTTTGTTATTTTTGATGCTGATTAAATTTTTTCAGTGAAAAAGCAAAAAATGAAACAACTTACGATTCAAGAGGCTTATATTATTGATTTTTCGATGATATACGTCTAGAGAAATAATTTATTTGAACAAAATAAAATATATTTGATTTAAATAAACGTATATTTGTCTCAGAGCCAACTAACTTATTTATTTGGCGTAAATAAAAATTTTATTTGTCAGAATTAAATTTTTCTTTTGGCTCAAATAAATTTTTTATTTCAATGAAATAAAATATTTCTGCAACAAATAAATGAGTTAGTAGGCTCGGAGACAATGATACCATTTCTCTGAGTGTAGGTAATTAATTAGAGTATTTCTTATTAATGTAGGTACATATAAAGGCATAATTAATTATAAACTCTGATAAATTGTATTATATAAGAGTTAATTATTTATTTTCTATTGTTTATCAATATAGAATGGTCTTTTATTAATGAAATATGTATTAACTGACAGAACTGTCTATTCAATGTGCAATAATTCTCATTAGAAGACAATAATTCTGAATCAATAAATGCTTCCTATTGCGCTGATTCATTTATAATCAAAAGAAAGTTTTGATCAATCATTCTTTTATAATTAATCATAAATATAGTTCGCTTTTGTATATTTTTATTTTTCAAGAGTGAAAATATGTCTGAAAATATATATATATGTATATTTATATATATATATACTTTTAGCTAATCGGACAATTATTTTTGACAATGTTGGAGATTAAGCTCGCCCAATTTTAGACAAGAATTTAATTTATTCGTGTTAAAAATAAGGAGATCGATGGAGCGTGTATAACTTGGCCTAGGAAGGTCAAGGACGTCCACTTTCCCTGTTTAATGTAGATATATATATATATATATATATATATATATATATATATAAAGAGAGGAACCTTGTTTCGGGAAAGTCACTAGCTGCAGCATCATCTTTAATTATATAATATCCCAAAAAATGATATATCTTCATAACGTATCATATTAACTTCAATTTGTTGAGAATTATTACTGTTTCTCGGTAGAAATATAAGTCATCATTTAAAAAGATGAAAGTCGTATATAGCGTGTGTTATTTATTAGAAATTATCTGATAAAAAAATCAGAAAATATGGAATTTTAATGTATGTGAAAAAATTAAAAATTGTTTCATACACTATATACATAGTTGGAAATTATCAGAAGATCCTTTTCGTTATGAATACAAATTTCAATTAGTGAAAAATATAAGAATACCAAGTTTCATTTTTCATTGATTTTTTTTTTATTTTTATTTTTATTTCCGTAAGTCCGTTTACTTGTTAAATAAATAAATGTTATTCAAAGATTTCTTTTTGGTGTAGCAAAATGTTCAACATTTAGAAAAAAGTAATAAAAATTATGACTTTTTTAATAAATTTGTTTAAAAAATAAATTTTTTTTTTTTAGTATGAAATAATTGTTCTTCCTGTTTTTCAACTTCGAAAAAAACAAAAATATTCAACTTATGATAAAAAGACAAACCGAAAATTTCATGATAGCTTTATTTTTTGTTTTCGAGAAAATTTTTTTTTTAATTTTCTAATCCTTCCCTTATGAAAATTCCTTATAAGAAAATAATGTTAGAGCTGAAATGTTTTTCGTATAATGTTTTTTGTATAATATTTTCGCGATTATAGGTAATTTTTTGATAAGAAATTCATTATAAAATTTTTTTTCTCAAATAATTATAAAAATATAATTATTAGAGACTCTGTAATGAAATCATTACAATTTAATAATTATGAAAATGTAATTATAGAAAATAAAATTTTTCACGTGCAAAAATTAAAATATTATAAAATTAAAATTACAAAAATTTAATTACAAAACTATATATAGTTATCAGTAAAATAAAAAATTAATTAATTTCTGTAATTAAATTTTTATAATTTTAATTTTATAATATTTTAATTTTTGCACGTGAAAAATTTTATTTTCTATAATTACATTTTCATAATTATAAAATTGTAATGATTTCATAACAGAGTCTCTAATAATTATATTTTTATAATTATTTGAGAAAAAAAATTTTATAATGAATTTCTTATAATAAATTACCTATAATCGCGAAAATATTATACAAAAAACATTATACTGAAAACATTTCAGCTTTAACATTATTTTAATTATTTTATAATATACATAATTTTTTTGCGATCTTTAAAAACAGGGAGAATGGGTTTAAAAATTATAAACAAATTTTTGTTATTTAATTAAATTAATTAAAAATTAATAGATAATTTTTTCTGAAAAACTGCTTCTTTTTACAAAACTTTTAAGCCTAGCCCGATAATGGGCAAACAATTTTTACAATATTTTTGGAATTTTTCAAAAAATTTTGAATTTTTTAAAAATATTTTTGGTTTTTCTTTATACTACGTACTTTTATGTATTTTGATGCGCTGATTACTAAAATCATAGTGACAATACCCCAAAAAATCCCAAAATTTATGGTTTTTTTTACGAAGCTGAAGTACGCAACGTTTATGATAAACGATTTTTAAAGAAATAATTTTTTAAAATGAAAAATTCTATAATTTTTTGCCTAAATAATATTTTTTTATAATTTGTTAATTAATGAAAACTACAAGAAATATTTTTTAGGCAAAAAATTATAGAATTTTTCATTTTAAAAAATTATTTCTTTAAAAATCGTTTATCATAAACGTTGCGTACTGCAGCTACGTGTTTTTTTCGTTTATTGGGTAAAATATGCAAAATTTAAAAAAAACTTTCAAACAAATGTTATAGATCTTATTAAAATACATTTTTTATATCTTATGAATTTTTTTTAATTTTGCATATTTTACCCAATAAACGAAAAAAACCATAAATTTTGGTACATAAAACTACGTAGTATAAAAAAAAAACCAAAAATATTTTTATCATTAAAACTCAAAAATTTGATAGTAATATCGTTTAAAAAAAATTTTAGATTTTTTTTTTTTTTGAAAATTACGTTTATAAACAAACATTTTGAAAAAAAGACTTTTAAAATTTATGCATTTTTAAGGAAGTTATGAGCATTCAAAAATTAAAAGTCATGAAAATTCTCCAATTTTCAAAATTCTATAACTTGAAAACGGCTTGCTAAAAAAATTTGATAAAATTCATGGAAGCTAGTCTCAATTAGTACAAAAAGAAAAAAAAATCTCAAAATAATCGGAGATGCAATTCCAGATGGACTTACACTTTGGCGTGGAATACATCATATATAAAAATATAAAAAGAGGATTAAATTACCTGAAGACATTGTATTTTCTTTATTTATCACGTCTGTAAATAGGTTACCATAATTCACATCTCTCTTGAACATCGTCATTTAAAAAAAGACATAAAAATTGACTTATGTTAAAGAGACAATATTTTCCGTTAACTTCCAAAATAAATACGCAAAAAAAATTTTTATACACTTCTGATGATGAAAATATTTTTGAAGATTAAGAAAAAAATATATTTTTCTTTATAAATTATTATAATTTTTTTTTTAATTTTTTCAAGTTTCTTGGATCAACAAATTGTTAAAAGAAAAATTTGTAAGCAATTTTATTATTTTCCGCGTGAAAAAGTTTTTTTATTGTTAATCATTGAGACTCAAGTCATTAATATCTTATACCAAATAATTGACTAGTATAAGTCGAAACAAAAAACATATTTTCATTGAAAATTATAGTATTTTAATATTAAGGAAAAATTACTTAATATTAAATAAAATTAAAAGAACGTTGAAATCATCATTTCTCTGATTTTTGCATGTTGAGAAATTTTTTATTCTTGTCTTTTAAAATCTCCAATTTTTTATGAATAAAAATAATAAATTAGAATCATTAAATTGATGGTTTAGTGAAAAAAAAGGACACATGAAATTTTCGTTGAAAAAGGGGGACACGTGTATTCAAATATAAAGGCACGTGTCATCGTTTTCAACGAAAATTTCACGTGTCCTTTTTTTCCACTAAACCAGCGAAATAATAATAATTATTATTTTTATTATTATTTTAAAGTTAAAAATTAGCATGATCAAGAATAAAAGTATTATTAAATCTTTTAAAACAGGATTCAATGTTTTGAAGTTCAATTAGTATTTTTTTGTTTTCAACTAATAAAATGAAATATTTCAAGAGAATCACCCATTAATAATATATTGATTCAGTTTATGTCTTATTAATTTTGTGAATTACCTCTTATGTCTGTAGGTGGATCACTTCTTACTTCAACATCACTGCTGCTGTGCCTAGCTGGGGTTTTTGGTGGACTCTTGTAAAAAGTTGAAGTGTCACTTCTCCCGCTATTATTTTGATGTGAAAAATGGAACATAGGCGTAGTTGACCATGAGGCAGGTGGAGGACTTCTTACCAGATGCTCGTGTACTTGTGCTAAGGTAAGTGGATCCGAGTCTCCTAACTCCTACAATACGAAAAGAGAAATTATTTTTTTTTTCCAGTTTTAAATCTACAGGCTTCGGATCAACTTTAAGGCACAATAAAAGTCATTTTAGTCCATTTACATTCCAAAAAAAAAACTCGAAAAAGTCGATTTTTTATTTTAATTAAATTTAATTCCATAGGAATATTATCAACAAAATTTATTTTGAATATTTCAAAATCGAAGACGTTAATTTTTTAGAATTTTAATTAAGTAGGAGAAATTTCTAAAAAAAAAAATAAAAAAAATTCTAACAACAATTCAATTATTTTAGAGTTTTTATTTGAAACTTTTTAAATAATTGAATTTTTAAAAAAATATTAAAATTATTAAAAATAATTGAACTTTGGAAGATTTATAGTTGAAATTTTTAGAAATAATTAAATTTCAAAAGATTTTATTAAATTTTGAGACAATAATTAAATTTTACAGAATTGAAAATAATTTATCAAATAATTTTAGATAACATTTTCAAAAATAAAACTAAATTTTAGACTTAATACTTTTCTAAACTGAATATATCAACGACTTAAAGTAAATAGGGTGAAACCCTTTGAAATTAAATTTTAGAAGGTTTTAAATTTAAATTATTAAAAATAATTGAATTCAAGTAATTTTGAATTGAAATTTTTTGGTGATTTTTATTGATGAAGAATTTATTAAAAATTAAAGACAAAAATTTGAACTTAAAAATTTTTTATTGAAAAATTTATTGCCAAAAAGTTTTAGATGAAATAATTTGTAATTGAAAAATAATTTAAGATAATTGAATTTGTAAAGAATTTGTGAAGAATATAATATAATTTTTTAGTTATATTCCTTTTTAAAATTTTACTGAAATTCTGAATAAATAACATGCAATAATTTCCATAAATCCGACTTAAAAAACTTTAAATTAAAAAGTTCAGAATAAAATTTAAAAATTTTCAAAAAACATGAAAACAGTTGTTAGAAATATTCCAAATATAATAATAGTATAAGAATAATAATCAAAAATTAATAGTTTTTTTTAATTTGCGTAAAAGATCAATTACCTAATAGAAAATTGTTAAATAAAATAATTTTAAAAAATGTTGAATCAACAAATATTCAAAATTTGAACTCATACAAATTTAAAAAGAACGTCTGATTTAAAAATATGTTTTCTAAAATTATTTAAAACCTAATTTCTTCTTTTATATTAATAATAATTCATAATTTTCACTTATTTATGAGGCAACATTGTTTCTCATAAAAAACAGAAAAATTTAATTTTTTAAAAGTGCAAATAATAAAGAAAATTTATGATTTTTAAGTTATTGGAAATTCTCTTAGCTAATATCTTTAACGAGGGCATTTCGTGTCTTTAATGATAAATCTCTGCTATATAGTAGTTATATAGATATATAGGATTATATTGACTATCGATTGGCTATACCCTAATATAACCCTGGTCTCATATTATTTCTCTCGCAATATTATTATTTAATATTATTTATGATTATATTGATTTTAGAATTATCATTTTAATTGTTAATTAAGGTAAATTAGTTTAACCTGTGCCATCAATATTGCGTCGTCGGATTCTGATTCCTCTATTGACTCGACTAGATTTTCCCGACTCGCTAGCACCTGAAAGTGAATAAAGAAAAATTAAAAAAATTATAAAAAATTATAACAAAAAAAAAAAAACAAAAAAAATTATAACAAAATTTTTATAGGGAAGAAAAAATGTTTTCAACATTTTTAAAACTTGAATTTCATAAAAAAAAAAACAATAATCCCAAATTCATATTTTCGTATTTTTAAATTTAAAAAAAAAATCAATTAACGTGAAAAATAACTTTCAAATTTTTCATCAAAGATTGAAGCATTAATAGTTTAAAATATGAGTAAATTGAATTTTGGATAAATTGAATTACAAAAAAAAATTGAAATTCGGATAAATTGAAATCCTAATAATTTGAAACATAAATCAATTAAAATTTAGATAAATTAAAATTCGGATAATTAAACATTTAAATCCATTAAAATGTGGACAAATTAAAATTCGGATAATTCGAATCTTAAATCAATTAAAATTTGGACAAATTGAAATTCGTATAATTTGAAAGTTAAATCAATTAAAATTTAAATAAATTGCCATTCTGATAATTTTTCATAAATCAATTAAAATTTAGACAAATTGAAATGTGAATAAATTGTATCTTAAATCAATTAAATGTTTGATAAATTAAAATTTAGTTAATTTTGAAACTCAAATCGATTAATTTTTAGATTGATTGAAATTTCTTCAATTTTAATTTTCGATCGGTTGGAGTTTGCATATAATTAAAATTTGAATTATATTAAATTTGTATGAAAATTCGCTTACTTGAAATTTAAATGAAAATTTAAATGAAATTAAAATTTGAATCAATTAATTTAAATTTTGATTTATTGAAAAAATTAATTTTTTATTTATTTTTGCAAATTTTTCAAATTAGTATTTCGTTCACGAAGAAAAGAGCAATGAAAAAAAATTTTTGGTTATTCATGAGGAAAAATATATTATTTTTTTTTCTAGGTTGAACTTGAATAATAATGATGAATGAATGAATGAAAAATTTTAACAATTCTTTTGTAAAAAAAATTGATGTTAATTTAAAAAAGTAAATTTGAACCTGGAGAAATGGATTGTCCTGACGACTGAGCCTTAAGGCTTCCATGTCCTGGTCGATGTTACGAGTCCTTCCGGGGGTCAATGTCAGGATCGAATGAGACGGTGAAGGCTGGCAGGCAACAACGACATCCACGGCCGTCACACTTAAGGTCGAGGGAATTCTCGACACCACATTGTCAATTTCATTTCCACTTCGCCGACAAACATTCGTGATAACGGCTAAAATTTCATAACACACAAATTATAATTATTTATGAGTTCCACACGCTGGGGCAAATTATTAATCACACTTGGCTATATATTCATGAATGTAGATATTATTATCATTGAATACACACGAGTGTGATAATATACGATGCTGAAATTCACAACGTTTATGAATTTTCACCTCAAAGATATTTCTTGCAATTTTTAATGATTAATTATGAAAAAAAAAAACATTTTTTTTTTGTAATTTTCCGTTTTAAAACAAATTTTTTTTTCTAATCATTTATCAAAAATTTACTAATTTTTGTGTATGAAATTTAATAATAATTTTTAGTATTAAATGTTTTATATCAAATTACTATATTTACAATCGATTTACTTAAAGGGAACACCAACAATAAAAATGTTACTTTAATTTATTTATTCAAATAAGAAGTTTTATAATAACTTTGTTTTTTTTTTTTTTTTTATTCTGCAAGTGCTCATTTTTTATGTTAATAGACTAAAAGGTAGAAAATAATATACATATTACTTTTCCTTGTATTCAAATGAAAAATTACTTCATTTTTATTGTTTTTGACGTTATCAGATTGACCCTAATCGACTTTAGACTGAGGGCTTGTCTATTAAAGACATGCATAAAACATAATATACAAAAAAAAAAAATGTCCCTATTATATTCTTATGATTGTATAGATATATGTCTTTTCTTATCTGCAAATGATTTTGTAACTATGATGGAAAAATCGATTTTTTTGCAGCCAAAATGATGTCATATTTTTTAGTTTACGACCAAAACTTTTTTTATATAGGTCACACACGAACAAATAAATAATTTTTCTCTCTTTACGACCTACTTTCCATATATACGAATAAAGTGTAATAATTTTTCATACATAATACAATATTTGCTTCATTTGCTATTAAGATTTATGATAAACGAAATTCTTCTGTTGTATATTTATTTTTTTGCAAATTACTGATTTTTAAATTAAAATTGTTTAGGGGTGTCAATTCTGTTTTTTTTAAAGAAAAATAATTTGTAACTATTTTGTAATTAAAAATTTTTTTTTTTATATTTTTATACAAATTTTTATAAATTTTTTATAAAAATTGATTTTTTTTTTAAATCCATAAGCGATTAATTGTCCGGAATATTGAAAAACAGATTTTTAAAAATTGTCAGTTAAAAATAATTAAAGAAGATTAAATTTTAATTTTTTAAAAACTTCAAGTTCTATTAAAACATTTGATTAACTAATAACAATTTTTTCTATTTCATAATGTTGAAGTATAATTTTAAATTCTTAATAATATTGAAACACAAATGAACATCTCTAAGTAACGTTACAGGTTTTTAAAAAATTGAAATTTCACTTAATTTCATTTAATAAAAAATTCTATGAATTTTCGTCTCAAAGATATTTCTTGCAATATTTATTGATCAAAACACAGGCCTCGGATCGACTTTTAAGGCACAAAAAAATTCATTTTAATTTATATTCCAAAAAAAGTTTGAAAAAATCGTTTTTTTATTTTAAGACAATTTACTTGGTTAATAAATATTTTACTTTAAATAACTAATGTTATTAGATATTAAATTCATTTTATTAATTCTGTAATGAGAATAATTCTATAAGAATATTATCAAGAAAAATTTCGAATATTTCAGAATCGAACTAATTGTAAGACAAATTTTCAAAATTTTATTTAAGTAGGACAAATTTAAAAAAAAAAATTCTTAAAGTTCCATTTTTGTAATTTTTTGAAGCCTGATTTAAGCAATTTATTTGAATTAAAAATTTTTGTCATAGTTTTTAGTTTTGATGATCAAAAAAATTTCAGACAATACTTGATTAAGTTTTACAGATTCAAAAGATTTTATTAATTTTACGACAATAATATTAAATTTTATATAGAACTAAAAATAATTTATCAAATAATTTTAGATAACATTTTTTAAAAGTATCGTTGAATTTTCAAAGATTTACAATTTAGATTTTTGAAATTAATTGAACTTCAAGTGATTTTTAATTAAAATTTTTTGATGATTTCTGTTAATAAAATTTTTTTTAACAAATTACAGACAAAAATACAATAATTTGAAAACTTTTTAAGTAAAAAATTATTTCAGATAGTTGAATTTTCGAAGAATTTTTTAAAAATCATTAAAAATAATTGAATTTCAGGAGAGTTATAATTGAAATTAATAAATTTAAAAAAATTTTAAATGGAAAATTGTAGAAATAATTAAATTTTAGAAGTTTTTAAATTGAAATTTTTGGAAATTAATTGAATTTCAAAATATTTTATTCAATTCCAGAATTTATTAGAAATCACACATACAAAAATTGAATTCCAAAAGTTTTTAATTGAAAAATGCTTGTTGATTAATGAAAACAACAAGATATATTTTTTTGGCGAAAAATTATAGAATTTTTCATTTAAAAAAATTATTTCTTTAAAAATCGTTTATCATAAACGTTGCGTACTTCGGTTTTTTTTAAAATAAGTCGAAAAAAGTCGTATTTTTGAAATTAGCCGAAAGTTTTGAACGTTCATATGAACGAAATATATTTTTCAATCAATAAATTATTAAAAATTATGATGACTATGTTAAATAAAACAGTAAATTAAATAATTATTAAATTAATAACTTCTTTTTAGATATTTTGAACAATATTTTGTAATAAAATTCGTACTTGAAGAAGTTGCAAAAAAAATTTCGTTCATATGAACGTTCAAAACTTTTGGCTTATTTTTTGAAAAAAAAGTCGTATAATCCGAGGCCTGAAAAAATTATTTAAAAAAACATTTTTTTAGATAAAATTTTTTATAATTTTTCGTTTTAAAAAATAATTTTTTTCTAATAGTAATAATAATAATAATAATAATAATAATAATAATAATAATAATAATAGTAGTAATGAAAATAATAATAATCAACGTTGTTGACTTCAGCATCGTTAATATTTGAATGTTTATAGAATTATTTTTAAATAAATTAGTAATTGTCATATTTTTTGTATTAGTTTATATTTTAAATATGTTTTTTTAGTGTAATAATATTTTTTTATTTTTTTTATTCATACAAAAAATGCATGAGTTTGTATCTAATTATTTTAGAAATTTTACAAAAAAAAAGAAAATGAAAATTAAATTAATTTGAAAAATGCGTTAAAATTAAGTCTTTCCTCAGTGCCTTCAAAATAATTTTGTACAATGAACACTTTGAGTATAAATTTCAATATAATTAAATAGAAATTGAAAAAGGAAATCAAATTTCCAGTTACTTTAACCATAATAAACTTACGTTTGAGTTTTTTTTTTAATTGATTGGAAATTTTCTAAGGAACATAAAAAATATAATTTTATTGATAAAAAAATTAATTTTTTAAAAAATATAATTTTATTAATAAAAAAATTAATTTTTTAAAAAATATTTAAAAATAAACAATGACTTCACGGAGAAAAAGAAAAAGTAATTTTTACTACTTTCAGAGTAAAACTGGACCAACTCGAAGTTTCTGCGCATCTCTGGCAATTTTTACTCCAAAAATAGTAAAATTTATTATTTCTGTAGTAAATTTTACTGTTTCCGTAGTAAGTTTTACTATTTCTAGAGTAAATTTTACTATTTTTGGAGTAAAAATTGCCAGAGATGCGCAGAAACTTCGAGTTGGTCCAGTTTTACTCTGAAAGTAGTAAAAGTTACTTTATAAAAGAAATCTTTTTTCTCCGTGTTGTTTTCAAAGAAGGCCCCCAATTTTAAAAATCACATATGGGCGATTTGTACCCAATGTGTACTTTAAGGGTTAAAATTTTTTTTTATTTTTTCTATATAAAGTGACCTGTTTTTTTTTTAAACAATACCTATTATTTATATTGTAAATATTAAATTTATCAAAAAATTGTAAATTATTCATAAATTCTGAATTCTCTTTCAATATAAGAAAAACATCACTCTTTTTTTTAAATAAAAAACCGGCTAAATTGAAAACGAGTGAGTTGATTGAATTTATATTCGATAGTAGAGAATTTTTTCCATCCATATATGATCAAATAAAAACTCGAAATCATTAAAGTTAATGGAATATTAAAAAAAATATATATATAATTTAAATAAATAAACTCAGAAAATAGTGAAAAAATAAATCTCACCTGGAGTTTCGACTCTCGGGGCTCGTTCCATCTCCTCATTCGTGTTGATCCTCATTCCTAGAGTCAATGTTTTCGATTTAAATAAATTGGCCAAGAAAATTGCACCTTTACGTTTAATTTTCTCGAATCTTTGTGCATTCTCAGAAGACACGTGTATCATTACTATTTTTCTACAATTAAAAAGTTCCATATTGTACTTGAAAAAAAAAGAAAAAAAAAATATTTTCTTTCTAAAATTAAATTAAAAAATCAATTTTTTAAAATGAAAAAACGTTTCTTATGTAAAAAAAAAAAGAAAAAAATATAAATTTTTTCTTTTATTTATATAGTGGAAAATTTTTTTTTTTTTTAAAGTGTTTTATCGATGAAACAAACTGACACCTGTTTGGTATTATATAGGTCTGCATAAACCTTTGGCTATAAAAAAATTTTTTGATTCTTCAGAAAATGAATTCTCCAAATCGATAAACGAGCAATTTGTCCAATAACATCCGATAACACACAGGAAATTAATCAAAATTGGCAATATTCAGTTATGAAATATACGAAACGATTCAACCGGTACTAGGGATGCTACTGCAGGTGTCGTTTGCTCGAGAGGGTTTTTTTTTTTTTTTTTTTTCCTTTCTTTTTTCCCTCCCTCCCGCCTTATCACCACCTCTTTCTCTTTCACCTCCTCCGCAGGACTTTGCGCAGTTGCAAGGATCGAATTTATATAGCGAACAATCAACCCCTGCCTGCTGAAATAATGCCGGTATGCGTCTACATAAGTCAGGGCCAAATTGAGCGACTATCTATAATAAATTATATTAAAAAAAAAAAAGAAGGTTGCTCGATTTTTCGGGGGTCGAAAAAAAAGGAGAACTTCCCTCCTGACCTACATTTATACACAAAAAAAATTCAACGCGAGGGTGCATTTCATTCTCGCATGATCTGATAAGAAATTGATTTATACATTTCCCCTCGACTCGTATAATATATGTTTGCTTTGTAGTAAATTTGTTTACAGAGTATTTATTTTCTTATTGTCACAGATTGATGAAATTTTTTTTTCTATTTTAATAACCTGAATTTTCACTGGAATAAAATAAATTATTTCCAATATTAATATTTGATTTATCGTCTAGACAGTAAATATGACGATAAATTTTGTATGAGGAAACTTTAGTCTAATACATTTTTACTATTGGGATATAAACCGGCCTCTCCCACGCAAGAAACAAATCGATCATGATACACCCTTCATGTATACATATATACATATATATGTAATGATCATTGTGTTATAAATGTTCTTTTCGGAGAGACTTACTATTCAAGGCCACTGAATGATGATGATGATGATCTGAGGTCGTCCATTTCTTCCGGGTTCATGCGCGGAAATGACGAAAATTTATTATTCACTATTCTCACGATGTACATACGAGTGTTTATTATAGGTTATATATCTATATGTATAGAGTAGCAGGAGGATTTTCCTGACGAAAAGACGATATGAATTTCACATCGTGGAATCACCCGGTTCGCGCATTTACTTCACGGTCAACACACAGTGAAATACTGTATGTATTTCGAGAAGTACAAAATAATACTCGCAAGCACGACTTTTTTTTTCTATATACCTTGTGGAGGGTGGGTGCGCGCGCAAATAGGTCAAAATTAACCCTCTACGATGACGTGAGGGGAGTGGTGGGGAGGGTAGTATTTGCATGAGACAATTTTGGATGAGAGATTGGAGGGTTAATGTGCATTAGAATTAGAGGTCACTCTCTATGCTGCCAACACGAAGTAAGAATAAGGAGTCTTCACTCCATGCGTCGATTAGAGGAAAAATGTCCCCAACTATGGTACAAGCATTCCGGAAAATTAGAATAGTCGGAGGTGGCGTTCGTAACGGGAAAAACCTTAAACTATTGATTTCCCTAATGAAAGTCGTCTGCTATTTTTGAAAAGTATATTATAAAATCACATAATTCCATATTTTTGAAAAATTAAGTAATTGAATAAATAGTAAATGTTAAATATGAAATAATATTTGTATTTAAAAAGTCATTTACAAATTAATTAATTTTATTAATTTTAATGAAGTTCTTTAAAAATTCACTAACTTTAAACTTTTTTTTAATACACATTCTTTAACAGTCAACTATTGATTTTTTTGTTTTTACAGTAATCTGTATATCTATTTAATTGTAAAAAAGTTTCCATTAAAAATCTATTAAAATTGAATTAATTCAATCTAAGAATCTTTCGAATATATGACTTTTCCGAAATTTAATTATTTTTAAAATTATTTAAATTCTTTATAAAAGTAAATGTAATAAAAATGTTTTTAATCATATTTAAATAAAATTCAATAATTTAAAACATTTTAAAAACTCTTCAAATTGTCATAAATCACACCAGTTTACAGTGAAATTGCCAATCGTACGAAACATGTTTTTTTATTAATAGGTGTTTTTTAAGTAAGAAAAACATATTTTTGGATATTTTTTTCCTTCGTGCAATTTTGCTGAATCTAAAAAAACACATTTTCGAGGTGTGACGTTACTTAAATTCACCTGTAGGAAAATTAGTTTGTCCAAAAAAAATAATATACCATTGGAAAGGTATTATTAAACTACCTTTCGAACTTTCGTCGTACTGTAAAAACAATAATTGATTGTTAAAGAATGTGTATTAAAAAGAAGTTTAAAGTTAGTGAATTTTTAAAGAACTTCATTAAAATTAATAAAATTAATTAATTTGTAAATGACTTTTTAAATACAAATAATATTTCATATTTAACATTTACTATTTATTAAATTACTTAATTTTTCAAAAATATGGAATTATATGATTTTATAATATACTTTTCAAAAATAGCAGACGATTTTCATTAGGGAAATCAATAGTTTAAGGTTTTTCCCGTTACGAACGCCACCTCCGACTATTCTAATTTTCCGGAATGCTTGTACCATAGTTGGGGACATTTTTCCTTCAAAGTGAAGACTCCTTATTCTTACTTCGTGGCTGCCAACAATCAATGGAGATGGCGCACTTGTTGATGGAGTCAAGGTGTATGCAACTTTTCGAACAGAAAATCTAATTTATAATTTGTCACTCTGAATGTCTGTAACAAGCATTTTTTTTTATTTATAAAAATACTTTAAGACAATTTTTTTAACGTATTTTAAATTTTCAGAAATTTTCTTATTATTATTCAAATTGATCGAAATTTCTATAAAAAATTTTTGTAGTAATTTTTATTTTTCCTATACAAATTTTCTTTATCAAAATATTTATTTTTCACCAAAATCTCATTTTTTGACTAAATAAATGCATTTTTATTCGAATTTATATTTATTGGAATTTTTTTTTTTTTTGTTCAAAATAATATCTTTTGACTGAAATTTAATTTGTCCGAATTCATATTTATCTGAAATTCAATTTGAATAGAAATTTATAACGAATTATAAATAATTCAAATTTTTATTAATTCAAAATACCAAATTTTATTTAATGTATACGAATTTTCATTTTTTCAAAATCTCATTTGCCGAAAAATTTCAATCATTGAATAATAATTTTTCAATAAATAATTGTAAAATATTTAAATTCCATTCTCAGAATTTTTATTCAAAAGGAAAATCTCATTTACCCAAATTTTCAATTTATTCGAATTTACATTTTTTGGGATTTCCATTTTGTGGAAAATTTCTTTATCGCGATATTTAATATTATCGAGTTTTTATTTTACCGAAATTCTATTTGTATGAAAAAATTAAATTATCTTTTCAATATCATTTTGAATTGACAAAAAAAAAAATTTTTTATTTGAATTTTCATTTATGCAACATTTATCCAAAACTCTATTCCAAACTCTAGTCCAAATTTTCAATTTATTCGAATTCACATTTTTCAAGATTTCCATTTTGTGGAAAATTTTTTTATGCTGAAATTTAATTTTATCGAGTTTTTATTTTTCTAAAATTCTTTTTGCCCAAAATTTCACTTTTCCGAAATTCAATTAAGAGAAATTTTCATTTTTTTCAAAATTCTGTTTGTCCGAATTTTTTTTTTATTATTAAAATTTAGAATATTTATCTAAAATTATTTTTTTTTGCAAAATTTTCATTATTAAAATTTATATTTATCCAAAATTTCATTTGACCAAATTTTAATTTATTCTACTTTATCATTATTCCCAATTTTAATTATTCAAAATTTTATTGCATCGAATTTTTATTTATCGAAAATTCTATTTGTCCGAAAAAATTAAGTTATCTTTTCAATATCATTTCTAATTGACCAAGAAATCTTTTTAAAGATATGAAATATTCTTTTAAAATATTAAATTATATTTTAAATAGAAAATATAAAAAATAATTCGGAAGCGGAAAAAAAAATCTCTCAAAAGAAGATTTTTTAAAGTAAATTTTAATATACAAAAAGGGGAATTTTTTATTTTCTATAAATATTGTACTTGTAATACTTTATTTTTAAATTTGTTTTCAAATAAAATAATTTTAATTATACCATCAAAATAAAAAGGGGAATAAAAGTTTTTTTTTGTACTAAAAAAATCTAATCAAAAGTTTGAAAATGAACTAAGGGATTTGAGGGCAATGAAATTATTTTCCCAAAGGAGTTATGAAATCGAAATGTCATAAGGCTCACTTTTTTATTTATTTTTTTTTTTATACACACTAAGAAAGAACTTTTTTCTGTTTTTTTTCTCTTTATCTGTTCATTCGATGCAAAGAATATTATACATTAACATTTGAAAATATTCGTGACAAAAAAAAAAGAATGTCGTGTTTACTTAGAACATACAAAAACGTGTACTATAGATGCAGTACAAGCATGACAATTATACATTATTATAATATTTCTTAAAAAAAAAAAAAAAAAAAAGAAAATCATTCTAAATTGGAAGACGATGAACTGACCAGTGTGAAAATACGACTTTCTCCAAATACATTTATATAAACTGTGAAAAATTTTTTTTTTCGATTTGCACTAAATTGAAAATTGTTTTCTTTATAATCGTAAATTATATTTTGCATTGTAATTTGAAATAAAATAGTAAATAATTTATTTGAAATATCACGTTGGTTAAATTCCCAACGTTTATGATCAACGATTTAGAAGAAACAAATATTTTTCTATGCAAATTTATTATTAAAAAATTTTTTGTAACATTTCTTGATCAACAATTTTTTTGAAGAAAAATTTGTAGGCAAAAATTTGGTTTTTATTAACTAATTTAATTATTAAATAATTTAATTTAAAAAATTTTTGAATTCAATTTATTTATACAAATTTTATTTTCGAATTTTTTAATTTTACCAAAAAATTGAATTTGTAAACTTTTTGTTTTAATTGTAAATCTTCGAAAGGGTAATTTTTACTATTTATTACAATTTTCTGTCCTTTTTTCTTTTTTTTTCTTTCATCTTATTTTAATGTTTTTCAATAAAGTGCAGATCAGAGAAAAAGAATATTTGGAGATTAATTTGACACTCTAGGTAAACTGTTCAATTGATACTGTTATTCTGTAATAATTTTTATAGGTCGTTACTTGTGTACCTCGACCATTTCAGGTACAGTAGGTATCGAGTCAAATCACCTGAAATCACATTAGGTACAATTTTTAATTTTTTTTATTATAAATTTTGTGAAAGCATAATTTTTACTATTATTTTACTACAATTTTCCATTCTAAATAACAAAAAGAATTTCAATTGTATATTGAGAGAATAATAATTTAATTAACGTAGACTTTGTATAATTAAAAAAAAAAATTAGAATTTCAAAAAAAAGGTAAAATGTGACCTCAAGTTTATGACACGTTCACTAAACCATTTTTGGTGGACTGTAGTACAAAATAAACACTTAATGCGATTTTTTTTAGTGTTTTACATTTCGTAATATATGACACTCATTTTTAAAACAGTCACTAAAGAAAATATGATGCAAACTTAGAAAATTACGAAAAAATTTTCAGGGATAATTTTGAAAATCGTCCTAATAGTATGACAATCGAATTTTGTATGATAAAAATGAAAAGAAAATTAATTCAAAAAAGAAATTTTAAATGAAAAAAATATACATTCATTTGGAAAATAATTTTTAAATGTTTTAAATAAAAAATTGAAAATTTTAATTTTAAATTAAGGAGTTTCAACCCATTAATATAACCTTAAACTAATAAATATAGTTTTTAATAGGACTAAAAATATATTTGAAATTGATTTCATCTAAATTCGAAAGTACAATTTAAAAAAAAATATATTTTCATTTAAAATTTATTGTTAAATAATATAATTTAATAAACATTTTGTGTTTTTTCTTAAAATTTAATGAACAATTAAAATTTTTATCCAATTTTTATATTCATTTTAATTTCTGAAAGATTATCTACAATTCTGTTCATTTAATTTGGTTAATAAATTATTAAATAATTAAATTTTATTTATTCAATAAACTTTTGAAGAAAAATTTTTTTAAATAAAATTCAAAACAAATTGTAGAAAATTTTTCTGTGAATAGAAAATGAATAAAAATTAGAATTGTTCACCTAACTTTAAGGTAAAAACACAAAATGTTTATTACTTATTATTTAACGATAAATTTTAACTGAAAATAATTTTTTTTTTGAAAATTTTACAACTGGATCTTTTGAATTTGAGTAAAATCAATTTTAAATACATTTTTCTGTTAAAAATTACATTTTAGTTTGAAGTTATGTTAATGGGTCGAACCTTCTTAAATGTTAAAAAAAATTCATTGAATTAAATTGGAAAAAAAATTATTTGACTATCTAGACGAGGTTTTTTTTTTCCTTTATGCAAAAGTCTAGCAAACCTTATAATTGGCTTTGACAATTTTGTGCATTTTTCATAATCTAGAACAACAATTGAAACTCCATAACGGATAGGTTTTTTGCACGTACATCTATACGTTACCGATATGTTAGTCTAGAAAAGCTACGTTTTCGTATAAACACAGCAACATCGAAATTAATATATAATATATATATATATATGTATATATACTATATATATATTTAATATAAAAACATTTGAAAAAATCACAGTTACTTAAAACATTTCATCGACGAGGTACAATCGCGTAGCAAACGTAGTTTTAGAAAAATGCTTCGCGACTGCAGTTTTTTTTTTTTTTTTTTTGTCATCATTAACTGATATTCACCTTGCATCGAGATTTACTTGTCGCTTTTTTAATTGATTCTAATTTTATAACTTGTCCAAATGTATTGTGAACCTTTTTTTTTTTAATTTATTGTTATACACTTTGAAATCTTTTTTTTCGATACCTAAAAAAAAGACATTACAAGATACTTTCGCATTGTAGAGCAATTGATAAAAAAAAAAAAAAAAGATGAATTGTGCTTCAGCACAATTATTTATTCTTCTCAATGGCAGTGTAAGTTCAAAATAATGTTTATCATCGATTCTAATTGTAAGAACAATAATGATAATGGAAAATTCGTCATTAGGAAAATACAATTATAAGTTGGAAAATAATTATATATTTTAAAAATGACAATGTAATGAGATGAAATAAGCTTGAAAAAAAAAATTATTACGAAAATAAATAAAAAATAAGAGCAATTTTAATTTTTAAATATTAAATTGAAATTATTATCATGATAGTTACATTAATATTGTTGTGTAACAAGAAAACATTTTCTCTTGTGTTTCAACGCAGCTCAATGAAATTTGTATTAATTTGAATTTTTAACACTTTTTTTTTTATATATACAGTGAAAAGTTGTAACACTCTATAGTGAACTCGCAACTGTACTGATTATTGGTTTTTTTTACTGATAAACACGAGATTGCGCGTTTAATAATCAATACGATTGTTTGATAAGTATCTCAAGTCTGATTCATGTTTATTGCAATATACAAACGTTTTAAGTAACACCACAAAACATGACTAAATTCAAAAACTCGTCTTCTTTCTTCCAATTTTAACAAATTGGTAACATCGATAATATTAAACATTCTTAAAAAGAATTAAAAAAAAGAAGAAAAAAACAAATTTTATTTACTTATGACATAAATTTTTGAATAATTTGAAAAAGAATATCTTTTATAAAACATTATGTTTTACTTGGTATTCTATTATTCTTCGTCTCTTTAATATTCTTTTGAAAGCGTTCTAATAGCGTAAAAATTTAATTTCTACCCTTTCCTTTCTTTTTTTCCTTTTCTTTAAACAAAAAAAAGTTCGATTTTTCTTTTTTATTCTAGATGCATCTCTAGAATTTATATAATATGCATAAATTAAAATTTATATGTATAAAAATAGGTGAATCTTTAAGATGATAAAAAACGGAAATCAGCTTCTAAATATGATTCAGTATAATAATCTTCGAATTATTATTACGGCGATTTATATATTGAGAGAGAAAAAAAAATGCTTTGAAGTATCACGCTTTAAAGAGAAATATTATGTGTATGTGTGTCTTTGCGCGAACTTCTTTCGTTTATCACAGTAATTGTTTTTACGAAGATTTTTTTTTCCATTGTAAACAGTAAAAGTGAAAAATGGCCATGATTGAATCTCGTTGCTTTTCAATCTTTATAAAGATATTTCTATTATTATCATTCGCAAGGCAAATTCAACATGATTTGCGCAAAAAAAATGATTTATTTGGCCCAAAAATAAAACAAAAACAAAAAAAAAAAATTACAAAACAAAAAAAGAAAAGAAACGTCACGACTACGATTTCGTGACAATTTTTTTTTGTTTTTTGTTTTCATAAACTACTTTTTTTTATGTACAAAAGTTATTTTACATTACAATTCCGTTTTGTCAGTTAAAACTCGTATTCTCGTTCACAGACACGCGGCAGTAAGATAATGAGAAAATTCTCATTTATGACAAAACATTCACCTCGCGAGGTGATCCACATATTACACTACTCGCAGGATTCACAGGATTGGGTGTCACTTGGCTACGGGCTTCAGTTTGTGCTTGTCGAATTGCCTCTTTATAAGGGCCTCTCTTCTTTTTGTTGTACCGTGTCTGAAATTTAAATATTTTGTTTTTTTTAAATAGTTTATTTTCATCAGTTTAAAATATACTAATAAAACGAATTTTACAAAGTCAAATTTTTATTTAGACAAATTTTATATTATAGAATTTTCATTTAATCACATTTTTAAGGGGAGGGACCGGTGAAATTTCAACTCATCGAAATTAATGTTGTTAAGGAGTGTCAATTTTTTTTTCTGACATTATTTGGTATCTAAAATTATTGTGAATTATTATAAAAAAAAAAAATTTTTTTTTGAGCATTTTAGAAATTTTACTTTTGAAAATATTAAAATTTTTAAAAATCCATTGATTGTTCAAAATCATAAAAAAGCCTACAAAAAAAATTACCGATAAAAAATAATAAAAATTGTAGAAGTTGAATTTTTATGGAATAATTGATCAAATTTAAACCAAACATAAATGATTTGGTTTAGAGGTAACAATTTTAAAAAAAAATTTTTTTAGAACCTAAAATCGTATTTCATTTTAAAAAATGAAAAAAAGGAATTTTTAACAATTTTTTTTTATTTTTCAGAAATTTTTTTTTCTTGAAAAAATTGAATTTTTTTAAAATTGACAACCTTAAATAGTCTTAACTTCGAAATGTTGAAATTTCAGCGGTCCCTCCCCTTAATTATGTAGAAACACAATTTTCATGTAAGAACATTTTTAATTGATCCAATTTTCATTTGACAGATTTTCTACATCATTGAAATTTTATTATTTGATTTTTAAATAAATAATCGATAAAAAAATAAATATGAAATGACAATTTGACTAAATGAAAAATCAATTAAAAGCAAATTCTCTTAAATTTGATCAAATGCAAACTTGATTAAATAAATAATTCGAAAAAAAAAATTTCCGAATAATAAAATTTTAATAATTTTTACTAATTATATCAATTGACAAATATTATTTATATTAATAAATAACAATAATTAACAAAAAATAATTAAAATTCATTCAAAAAAAAGCAAAATTCATTGAAATGAAAATTTGATTAAATAAAAATTACTTCATAAGAAAATTTCATTAAACAACAATGCGATTAAATTACATGAAAATTGTGTCAGAGGAAAATTCGTTTAACATATAAAATTTGGTTAAATAAAATTTTGATAAAATGTAAATTTTATTAAAAAACAAATTAATTGAATATAAAAATGAAAGTTTATTTAAAACAAATTTCGAAATTTAATCAACTAGAGAATTTTCATTATAATTACTATGATGTACACAAAGTTTATAATCAACGATTAGAAAACAAATTTTAAAAAAGTGAGAAAAAAAAATTAGAAAACAACAAAAAATCATTTATATCAGAATTCTTTTAAATAGAACTAATGATAAATAAAAATTCTTTTAAATAGAAATTTGATAAAATGTAAATTGTAATGAATAAAAGTTAAACATTTTATTTAACTTTGACCGACAGAGAAAGTTTTATAAAAACTTTCATTCGGAAATTTTGAAATGAAGCCAAGAATAATAATTTCTATAAACAAAAAACAACACATTTGAAATTTAAATATCTTGAAAAAATATAATATTCAGTCTACGTGTGTACAAAAAAAAAAAATTCTATTGCTAAATAAAGATAAAATTTTACTGATAAAGATTATAATAATAATCAATCTGTCAATTGCGGTAATTACATTTTCTTGTCAAAATGATTGTGTATTTTTTTTCTTTAATATTTAACATGTGATTTAAGACATTAATATAAATGATGGTCTTTCAAATTGTGTTGTGATTTTTCAAACGGGATTTAAATTTTCTTGATAAGAATAAATTGAAGAATAGTGTAATAGGGTGAATGCAAAATGGACGGTGCGTGGGCGGATCAGAGCCTAATGATGATTCATCGTTATCTAGATTAAATCGATTCGTTTCTTAATTTTCCAAAGTTTCTAAATTATTCTAAAAACATTTCCGCCCTTATTTTTCTATTTTCAAAATAAATCACATTTTCCCAATAAACAAGTTAGAAAAAATAAGTATATTGATTAATACTTTTTTTCACCTGATTCCTAATTTATAGTATACGTTTTAAAATTCAAACCTAATCTTTGGGATATTTTTCAAAATCTAGTCAAATTTTAATTTTGAATTTTAATTTACAACCAAAAAAATCTTTATTATTTTTTAAGAAAAGAATAATATGATTATTTTTTTTCTAATAATTAGAAAAATTAATTTTTTATAAATTTAAAAATAAAAATTTTTGATCAAAAAACGAAACTCACTTTGAATGTTTCTAAAAATGGACTAAGCTGGTCACACGACATGAGAGAACTTGTCGACGAACCATACCAGGCAACATGAGCCTGTGGACCCGAAGATGTACCATCTTCTTTACAGGATACTGTGATGCTGAGAACCTAAAATTAAATATTATTCATTAAAATAACAAATTTATCAGATAATTAATTAAGAGAATTAAAATCAGGGATCGTCACAAATGAATTTTTTTCCTTTCTTCCAGTACGAAATAAAAATAACTAAATTTCAGATTCCAAACTCTTTTTTTTTGGTCAAATAATATTTATTAGTTTTCGAAAAAAATGTAATAAAACTAAATTTTTTTGGAATTATTAGAAATGATAATTTATCTTAAAAGAGATAAATTTATCTTTTGGAACTATGATACTTTTGATATTTTTGAAATTCATATTTCTTGTAATATTGCAAAATTTATGTAATTATTATGTCTACTTATTTTTGAAAATAAAAATTCATAAGATTTCCGTTTATGAATAAATAAATACATTATTTAAAATTTCTACTTAAAACCAAATAATTGTTCTGAGCTTTTTAATTTTTTTTTTTTTTTACAAAAAACGGGGCACATGATTATTTTATATAAATTATTATAAAGAATTTAAATTTTCAATAATTTTATTAGATATAAGTATTTATTTTTTAGACGAATATTCATTTTTTGAATTGGCATTTGAGAGAATTTCTTTTTAAACAAATTTATACTTTACAGAATTTATCTTTATAAAAATTTTTATTTAAAATAATTCTAATTTAACGGAATTAAAATTTAGCAAAAATTCTACTTCAACAAAATTTAAAGTGATTCGAATTTTTAAAAGTCAGAATTTTCAATTTATCGAATCTTCATTTGTTCGAATTTTTGTTTACGTATGAATTTTTATTTGATAGATTTCTTAAAGCGACAAATTTTTATTTGTCCAAAAATTCAAATTGCCGAAAAAAGAATTGACAGTAAAATTTCAGCGCGATTTTTAAAATTTACCAATCACAATTTTCTTGATAATTTTCTAATTGGTAAATTTTAAAAATCGTACCGAAATCTTTATGTCGATTTTTGATTTATTTGCAATTTGTATTTTGCATTTTGAAAATCAAAAAAATAAAAAATGTTGTTCTCTTGAATTTCTCTCTTCTTGAACAGAAGACAAAAAAAAAAAAAAAACAAAAACTAAAATGAGAAAATAATTCTTCTTGTGACGTTCCCTGATGAAAATTTTGACAATATTCGTAAATTTCACTTACTTTTCCTGGCCACCAGGGAAATCCATGAATTTTCCCCCAAACAACATCGCCAACATCCATTCTTCGGCCATTGGCAGTTAAACAATGTGGCACGGGCGTAGCGGCGAGTCGCATCACAAGTGGATGAGACGGAGGTGGAAAATCTGGAGCTGTTTCTCCAGCGTCAACTTCCGGCTCTTGTTCACTGAGCTCGTCGCTACTTGCACCAGGACTCTTACAACCTGAGGATGCATTACTTACTGGATAGTCACATCTTGCGTAAGCATTTGTATTCAGTCTCTTGAGGGAGATCGAGAGCTTTTGCTTGAGGCACTGCTCTTTGATCGCAGTATAAGTATCACCACCACCGCCGCTTACTCCTCCAGGCAAAACATTCCAATTTTGCTGATTCTCTTCACTGTCGTCGAGGCATGACGATTGCTGTGATTGATTCTTGTGCTTTCTTTCTTCCTTGTGCTTCTTCTTGTGTTTCACTTTGTGCTTTCGACGATGATACGATAAGGGATCGTAATTTGGATTATACCTATATATTGAAGAAAATTGTATTTTTTATTACAAAAAATATAAATGAAAAACAGGGAAGCTATGAAAAAATTTATAACGTTTATGATCAACGATTTAGAAGAACAAATATTTTTCTATGCAAATTATTATAATTTTTTTTTTTTTTGTACAAAAATTTTTATATTTCTCAATCAACAATTTTCAAAAGAAAATTAGTTTTAGGCAAATAATTTTATTATTTTCCGAATGAAAAATACATATTATAATTTTTCTTCAATCGTTAATTATAAACGTTGTGTATGTACGAGCAAAAAATTAGCAAGGTGCCATTTTTATTTTTCAAAAAAATAATTTTTGTTCTCATTTATAATGCAAAAAATTTTTTTTTAATAATAATGATTAGGACTTGAATTTTTTTAAAAAAAGAGTATTAAGCTCAAAAAAGCTACTTATGTGTAATTAAAAATAAACAATTGTTCAAGACTAGATCAAAATTGAAATAAAGTCAAATTTAAATTCAAAAAACGATTTTTTAGCCGAGAAATATTCAAAATTTGTGCTAATTTGAACTAGTTCAACTGTCTAAATTTTTGAACGCTCAAATGAACATAAAAATTTGTTAACTACTTTTTTAATTTCAAATTTTATTATAAAATATTGCTTTCTGTATCAAAAAATAAATAAATTTATTAAATATTAATTTAATGTATACTTTTTTATTTTACATTGCTGTAGTAAGTTTTTAAAAGATTTATAGACCAAACAAATTATTCCATTCATTTGAACGTTCACAACTTCAGGATGAGTAATTTATGTGTCTGAAGTTCTGAACGTTCAAATGGACGAAATAATTTTTTTGCCCATAAATTTTTAAAAAATTACTACAACAATGAATAATACTAAAAAAGTATGTTTAAACATTTAATAAAATATAAATTTATTTTTGTACATATTTTTTAAAAAAAATTTGAAATTAAAAAAGGTAATACGAAGCTGAAGTACGCAACGTTTATATAAACGATTTTTAAAGAAATAATTTTTTAAAATAAAAAATTCTATAATTTTTTGCCTAAAAATTATTTTTTTATAATTTGTTGATTAATAAAAACTACAAGAAATATTTTTTAGACAAAAAATTATAGAATTTTTCATTTTAAAAAATTATTTCTTTAAAAATCGTTTATCATAAACGTTGCGTACTTCAGCTTCGTAAGGTAATCAAATTTTTTGTTCATTTGAACGTTCAGAACTTCAGACACATTTTAATTTTAAGCCAAAGTACAAAAAGCAAAAAATCATAATATTTTTTTAAAGATAATTTAATTTTTAAATTCAAATGCCCCAATTATCGACACCTTTGCTTCAATAATCGTCACATAAATAATTTAAGAATTTAAAGCAATGTATTGAAATAATTATTATTAGATATAATTTATTTTTGTTCTCGATCAGCATAATTCAGCACAAAAATTATTTTTGTAAAACAATATTTTTTAAATATTTCTGGATAGAAAAATGTACACTTGAATTTTAAAATTGAATTCTAAAACTTGGTTCTGATAGTGTATTTTCAATGAAAGATTACAAAAAAAATTTTAGCGAATTCGATTGAAATTGATTTAAATATTTTTTTTTCGATAAATTGAAATTTTCGAAAATAAGCGATCCCCTCTATTAATTTTACAATTTTTAACCAAAAGTGCTACAATTTGGTATTCTGGTGTATTTTTACGAATTATTTCTGATAAAATTATAGGTATAACTCGCACTTGTTCGATTTTTTGAGATTAAAATTGTTTTTTTTTGTTTTGAAATTCGAGTCCTAATTATTTTTATTACGAAAAACTTTTTACAGCACTAATTAGCACAAAAATTATTTTTTCGAAAAAACAAAATGGAGTTACTAATTTCTAGCACGATATTAATGTTTAAAAATTTCAATGAACTGAAAAATTTATTCTTACGGCAACTTTGAATTTAAATTTATCACAAAATAACGAAATTGAAGTACGCAACGTTTATGATAAACGATTTTAAAAGAAATAATTTTTTAAATTAAAATATTCTATAATTTTTTGCCTAAAATATATATGTCTTGTAATTTTCATTAATCAATAAATTATAAAAAAAAATATTTTTTAGTCAAAAAAATTATAGAATTTTTCATTTTAAAAAATTATTTCTTTAAAAATCATTTATCATAAACGTTGCGTACTTTAGCTTCGTCACAAAATAGTCACATCGAAAATTGTTCAATTGAACAAAAAAAAAATTCTTACCTAGGAGAACCATTACATGGTGATCTCGCTGGTGAAACACCGCCAAGCATTTTTCTTCTCGCTTCTTTTTTTGCCTTTTTCAAAGCTCTCTTAGCGGCTTTTGCACTTGCATCTTTGACACCTTGCTTCTGTGGATCGACTTGTTCCTGACCATCTTCCTCCACATCGGCTGAATATAAATCAGTTCCTTCAAATGTTTTTGGTAACTCAAGTGGATCCCTGTCGGATTCGAGTTGAAGGTCATCCTGATCGGTATCACCTTCATGTTGATAAGGCTCTTGTAATTTTGAGGGTATTTTCAATACTGTACCCTCTCCCTGAGCTCCGTAAGAGATTTTTATCACCGGAGTTGTCTTGGCTATCCTCGTGAGATCTTCAAAGACTGATTCATCCCAAAGGTCCTCCATTGAACCCACAGAACGTTTCTTCCTTGGTATTCTACCCGTTTTAAGCCTCATTGTTGAATCGGCCGCCGCTAGAGTTTTCTTTTCTTCTTCGTCCGGTACCTTGGCACTTTCAACTGATGAACTACTCAGTCTTCGTGGTGTGGCGCAATACGCTGCTGTTGGATTACTTTCCATCTCCATGGGAACACCTTCAGTTTCCACTGGTTCTTCGTCGCCATTTATTTTTGAAGTCTCTTCACTCTCACTCCAACATGCTTTGGATGCAACTTTCATTGGACCTGTAAAAAAAATTATCATCAGATTAGAAAAATAAAATAAAAATTAGGAAATTTAAAAATTTTTTTGAGAAAACACTCAACCGGCATTCATCTCGCTGGGTTGCAACCTTGACAATTTTGGAATGAGAGAAGCTCTCATTTTTGTTGAATCAGACAAGAGTCGTTGTTGACTTTTCTGTGGCGTTGATTGCGTTGGTTGTTGAACACATCGACGATCACTTTTTCGCGTTGGCATTGCTGTTGGCTCCGATGATTGTGTCTCGAGCTTTCGCTTTTTGCTGACATCGACATTCTCGCTATTTTCGTTGCAAATCGATCTACATTTGCTGCAAAGCACCTGCCTTGGTCTAAGACGAACGGTTGGTCTGGCATTTTTGTATCTCGCTGGAGGATTTATATTTCGACGAAGATCGGCCTTCGCCGCTAGTGCTTGCCTTTTTTCTTGGAAATAACTGAAGCGAGCGGCAATCGAAGCAAGTTTATCGCCGTCAGGACCACTTACTGGTTCTGGTGGTTGCACCCCGCAAGGAAGTCCTCTGTAACATTAAAAATAATTTACACATGAGTATAAATTATATTTGTTTGCAATTTTTTTTTTTTTTTTTTTCAAATTATTTATTTTTTATTTTCTTTCAGTAAAATTTAGTTAAAATAAGATTTTTTTAAAATAAAATATACGGGTAATTTAGCTATGAGATTCTTCAAAAAAAAGGGAATTTTCATTTGATTATTTCTGACGAAAGATTCAGGTCTCGGATCGACTTTAAGGCACAAAAAAAGTCGTTTTAGTTGATTTTTTTTATTTTAACAAAATTGAATTGGTTAATGAATATTTTACTTTAAATAACTAATGTTAATTAAATTCATTTTATTAATTTTGTAATGAGAATAATTCTATAAAAATATTATCAAGAAAATTTATTTGTCATAGTTTTTTAGTTTTGATGATCAAAATAATTTCAGGCAAAAACTTAATCAAGTTTTACAGATTTTTTATTAAAATTTTTTTTTTTTAAATCATAATAATTTTGGAAGATTTAAAGTTGAAATTTTTAGAAATGATTTTGAATTTCAAAAGATTTGGTTAATTTTCAGACAATAATTAAATTTTACAGAACTAAAAATAATTTATCAAATACTTTTAGATAACATTTTTTAAAAGTAATTGAATTTTCAAAGATTTACAATTTAGATTTTTGAAATTAATTGAATTTCAAGTGATTTTTAATTTAACATTTTTCATGATTTCTGTTACTAAAAAATTTATTAGAAATTGCAGACAAAAATACAATAATTTGAAAACTTTTTAAGTGGAAAATGGTTTCAGATAGTTGAATTTTTGAAGAATATTATAAAAATCATTAAAAATAATTTGTTTTCACGAGAGTTATAATTGAAATTATTAAATTTCAAAAAAATTTTCGATGGAAATTTTTAGAAATAATTAAATTTTAGAAGCTTTTAAATTGAAATTTTTGAAAATAATTAAATTTTAATTGATTTTGAATTGAAATTTTGGAAAATAATTGAATTTTAGTTGATTTTGAATTGAAATTTTTGAAAGTAAATGAATTTTAGTTGATTTTAATTAAAAATTTTAAAAGTAATGTAATTTCAATCGAAATAATTGAAAATAATTGAATTTTAATTGATTTTGAATTGAAACGTTGGAAAATAATTGAATTTTAGTTGATTTTGAATTGAAATTTTTGAAAGTAAATGAATTTTAGTTGATTTTAATTGAAAATTTTGAAAATAATGTAATTTCAATCGAAATAATGGAAAATAATTGAATTTTAATTGATTTTGAATTGAAACGTTGGAAAATAATTGAATTTTAGTTGATTTTGAATTTAAAATTTTGAAAATAATTGAATTTCTATATTGAAATTTTTGAAAATAACTGAAGAATTTATTAGAAATTACACACAAAAATTGAACTTTTAAATTTTTTTCATTGCAAAATGCTTTCAGATAATTAAATTTTCGAAGAATATTATAAAAAATTATTAAAAATAATTAAAATTTTTGCAAATAATTTAATTTCAAGTGATTTTGAATTAAACAGTTTTTATTATTTTATTTGCTAATTTTTAAAAATTTATAAACAATTATTAAATTTCATAAAAATTTTAATTCAAAAATACTTAAAGTTTATTGAATTTGTGAAGAATTTCATTAAAATTATTAAAAATAATTAATTTAGTGAAGAATTTTAGTTAAAAATTTGTTAAATAATTGAAATAAAGAAGATTTAAAGAAGATTTGAATTGTATCCTAAAAAAAACGTATTTTGTTTTAAAATTTTGTAAAAAAGTCGAAAAAGTCGCATTTTATTAAAATAAGTCGAAAAAAGTCGGTAAAAGTCAAAAAGTAATGTGTAATCCGAGGCCTGAAGATTTTGACTTAATATCATTTTTTTTTCTTAAGTTTGTACCTATAACTGGATCTTTCAAAATTTATTGAAATTAATTTTTCTAATATTTTTGTTTGCGCTAAAAACAATTAAGGCCAGGTCCAAGTCGAGTCAGCTGTTCCTTTGAAGTTTCAATGGAACAGCTGACACGACTTGGACCTGGCCTTAAGGGTGCTTAGCCGATTAACATAACCTCAAACTAAAAAGTTATTTTTACCTACAAATAAAATTAAAAATAAAATTAATTTCATTAAATTTTGTAATTATGATTTTCAAAATAAATTATTTTTGCGCAAAAATTTGTTGATAAATAATAATTATTTTTATATTTTTTGTTTAAAGTTGATAAACAATTGTTATTGTTATCCAATTTTTAAAAAACAATAGCTCATTTTGCTCTTTGAAAGAATTTTTTTACAATTCTGTTCGATGAAATTTGCAAATATTTTGTTTAAAAGTTAATAAACAAATAAAATTTTTATTTTTTATTTTTCTTTTAACAAACAATTATTTAACAAATAAACAGAAAAACAAAATTGTAGAAAATCTTTCAAAGAGAAAAATGAGCTATTGTTTATAAAAATTGGATAAAAATTAGAATTGTTGACTAACTTTTAACAAAAAATACGCAAAATGTTAATTAATTATTATTTAACAACAAATTTTAAATCAAAACAATTTTTTTTGAAAATTATACAACTGGATCCATTTTTTGACACTTTGAACCCGTTTTTCTCAAAATTGAGACCAACGTTTGCTCTTGTGGCAAAATTTTGTCTTATGAAGGAAGGAAAGTTTTGTTAAAAATTACTTTTTAGTTTGAGGTTATGTTCATGGGTTGAATCTCCTTAATAAAGATTAACTATTATTTTTTTGCATTTTAAAATTTTTGAAAAATCGTTTTTTGCCCATAACTTTAAAAAAAAATGTTAGGACACCAACAGATATTTATGTCTAGTTTTGTAGAGTTTTTCAAGACGCATCTTTTGACCTATTATAGCGAATATTCTATTGTTATTTTATTCAGAGTTATTAACATTTTGAAAAACCTGCCTTTTTTGCATTATTTATTAAAAAATCTTAAAAAAAAAACTTTAAAATTATTATGAACAATTTGGAGAATATTTAAAAACGAATCAATTCACCTATATTATTGAACCTTTTATTATAAAATATTACCAAGTTATTGATGTTAAAAATCTAAATAATACCTTGAGAAATACTTTTCAAGGATATTAATGTGGACCCGAAATCTTGTTAAAAATAATTTGGTATTCTTGGTCCCGTCAAAAATAATTTTCGACGCTGAGCGTCGACGTCGACTTTACGAAGGTTATTATTATTATTATTATTATTATTATTATTGACAGTTTATTATTTTATGTTAATTCTTGTCCAGTGGCGGATCCACTATATGACAGAAGCTAATTTTATTATATTGATTTTTGTTCTTTTTTACGTTTTAAGCAACAAATTTTTATAGGGAATCAGAGAATTGTCACGGTTTGGGATTCATATATTTTGCAACAAAATCAATAATTATTTATACTTTTTTTTTGTTAATTAAACTGTGAATATTCTCCCCGCCAAGAATTAACCACACATATTTTTATAATTTAACTCAGATAAATTGTATATTTGGTTTGAATAAAAAATTTCTCTGGGTTGCAAAAAGAATATCGAGAGGAATTTTTTTTTTAATCCTAGCTGCGAAATATATATCGTGAAATCTAAAATTATACATAGTAAACGTTATAAGAGCCGAAAATTCTTTTGAAATGGCTACAAGTTATATATACATAATGATTAGCAAAAAGTCACGCAATCTCATCTATCATTTAGTTTCGAGATTAACCCATGGGCATTGCTTCATATCTATACACGAATAATGGATTATATGACTTCTTTATATAGTATATATATATGTATATATTGTTGAGTTTAGACATTCAGGTGTATTGTTTCGATTCAGGGCAATCAAGATTCATGGACTGTGGTCAAATTGATTTAAAAGTTTATATATCTGGGATTGACGGCACAGAAAGAAATAATACTTATATATAATTGACCTTTCGATAAAGAAGAGTTATATACATTTTCATCTTTATATTATTGATTTCCCACAGAAAATTTCAATTATTCAGAGAAAATTTGGGGGTTTAATTTGCAAAATTGGATTAAAATAAGCTATAAAATTGCGTTAAAATATTTTGTACCTCAAAATTTTCCATGATTATTGTTTTTGTTGTAAAATAATAACATTTGTAAAAATTAATAAAGAAAGCAAAAAAAATTCAAGATAGATATAATGAAATAAAAATTCTCTGTTAAGAAACATTTAATCAGTTCACCGGCTGAATATAAGAATATAATAAGTGGATTTGATATTCTTTTTAAAAAATCAGAAATTTATCAGAGAAACGAAGGAGAATTTATATATACTTAATCTCGTTAGAAGTGTATTTTCAGGTAGCAAACGAGGACGAACCAATATCTGATTTTGAAGATAAGTTTCCCGTATTTTTTTTTTTTTTTGCCCTCGGAAACTTGATACTGTTGAGAGTGTTCTGTTACAAGTGCACACACATACACAACTGGATCTATATATATGCATCAAAAGTAAATGGTCAGTAGCCAATGATCGAATAGGTATATATATACACATTTATACTTGCAGCTTCAACTTGCACAGACAACACATTCGCAAGGGCAAGGTATTGATTCGAAAGAGGCGGACAATGAGCGACGGGTGGCTGCTGTTTCCATCATATTTCCCACTGTTGAAATAATGGAAGCTGTATATGCAAGCATAAAGCTCGCCCCAAAATTTATGTGGTCTTTGCGAATGCCCATATTCTATAATGTTTCCATATATATCCTTGGGTCACTATTATTGGTCCACGCCTGATCAAAATCTCTTGCGAAACTTTTGGCTCGCACAGCTTTCACGCTTAATCAGAAAAGTTATCCCTAATAATAATCCTTCACAAAAAGGTTTGATATGTGTCGAACACAGGCTTAGAGCGAAAATATTAGTTTTTTAATTATAGATATATAAGAAAATTTTCTCTTATATTCTTCAAGATTAGAAAAAAAAAACCAGAAAAGAAAATAATTGTT